TAAAATAACTAGAAGCCAAAACAATTTAACAAATTCTATCCTCTCAAAAAAAAAAAAAAAGGCTTTTAAGCCTATTTACTTACTGAAGCTTCCTCTCAAAGCCCAGATGTGAACTCCTCCAGTCAATGTAAGATCCAGGTGCTTGTTCTGTTTGCCGCCCCCCGCCCCCCGCGCCCGGCTGCCCTGCGCTGGGGGCTGAGCTCTAAGGACAGCGCTGTTGGTTCTGGGCTTACCTGGGTTCGGCCACCGGGATGGAGGCCAGAGGAGACACAGATTGGGATAGTTCTCACTTCCTCTGGGCTGGATTTTCTAGCAGAGGCCGAATGTCCCTCCACTCCAGCTCCCGACGGCCCTTTCCCTCTTTGAAGCTCCAGCTACTTCTGGGGGGTGGTAACAACTTCCTGCTGTTGCTAATATGCCTTCAACCTGCTAGAAGCCCGCAAGGAGTCCCTTCATTTTCCTCTCTTGAACTACCGGAGTTAGATTCGGTTTCCTGCAGGGACCCCAACTACTAAGTCCATGAAAAGAAACCCTTGTCTGGGTGTGGAGGACGGTGATATCCTAATTCGCAGGTTACTCATGGCCATCAAGCATGTTAGTGCTGGTATTCCATTGGTATGACTAGAAAATTGTATGCCTAAGTTTGTAAACCAATGGCCTGGAACCCGTACCTCCAGATTTGATTGCCTCCTCAAGGCTGACACCTTAGGATGCTTTAAGACCTATTTCAGCAATGGCTAACATGTTAAAACATTCTGAGGTTGCTTGTTAAGATTTTCTTTAGTGTTCATAACCCTATTTTGAATAATGTTGGAAAATGGTCCTCCTCTGATGACAGATTTGATTCAGATCAACAGGCAATATCAACACATATTTGAAAATTGGCAAGAATTTCATTGTTTTTATATGCAAATTTCACTGATTATCTTCAAAATGTCTTTTATAGCTTATTTTTCTTTTCTTTTAAGCCAGGATCCAATCAAGTTTCATAAATTGTTTTTGGTTGTCTCTTTAAGCGTTTTTAGGAATACAGAGATGTGAGTTTATGCACATAATTCTGTGATCCAGTGTCTCGTGTGCCATGATACATGTCAATGAATCGGGTGGGTCTTTAGTGAAGGCTAAGAATGTTCCTGGCATTGCAAAGGACACAACTTGCATATGGGAGGAGGAGATGAGTCAGTCATTCAAAAGGGCCATTAAATTGGTATGAGCAGTCAGCGTTCCCCTTTTTCATGTTAGGGCACACAGAACAACCTCTTTCCATAGTCTGCTGGGGTAAACACAGGGCACTCCTTGGGGGCTGTCTGGGGCTCCAGCTGCCTCAGGTCCCCCTCCTAAGGGCTCAGGGACCTACATTTGTAGTATTCAACTTTATGGTTTCCCAGTTTATGTCCCAGGGTATTCTTATTTCAAATCTCTATCACTTTAGATAACCAGGCATGTTTCTTCCACAAAAGAGCCCAGCTTAGCGTCTTGTTCCCCTTCAGCAGCCACTAATACCCATTAACCTGGAAAAACAAAGACAAAGGTGGCCCTTTTTCCATGTTGTTTATTCACCATCAACTAGCTACATGAGGGGGATAAACAAATGAGTACGAACTTTTCGGGGAGAATGGGGTATATGGGCAGAAGGGTGGGATTTAAACAGAAAATGATCTTACACACAGCTAGATAGAAGATTAACAGGTATCCTTTTTTTTTTTTTTTAAAGTATCCTCTGAGGGTAATGGAGGAAGATAAAATCATCATTAGCAACTTATCATTGTGTAACCCAAAGGTCTCAGAAAATGGTTTGCATTTTCTGTCATGATTTACAGATACTCGTGTGATAAATATTTCCAACACAGAAAAATAAAGACTAACACCAAGCAACAGATTTATACAAGGCAGAGGGAAGTTGAGCGCATGAAAACAGCTATCATCTGGTAGCAAAAATAGATTTATGCCAATGTTAATATCAAAATGAAAGACATTCAAATGAATTATGCCAATACATTGGAACTATTATTCCTAACATCATAAGAACAACTTTATTGCTCCTACTCGTAACTAAAAGGCTGGAGAAAATTCTATGATAGCTTGAGGGCATAATATAACTAACTCATTGACTATGTAGTAGGCCTACAACAAGGTTCAATAGCCAAATAAAAACTTAATTCTTTTTCTTTTAGGGCTGACACTGTTTACAGTAGAACAAGACCACTCATCATAAATCTGGAAAATACAGATGAGGAACAGTCCTTGAAGCCTAAGCAAGTGATTTACTGGAAGTAATTAAAGGTAGAATATGAGAAAAGCAGCAGTTCAAATGAAGTAAACATGAAGAGATTTGTTTTGTTTTGTTTTGTTTTAGCTTGTATATTTTTCTCTTCCAGAGAGCCCCACAGGAAGCACACAAAGACTGTGGGCTATTGAGGCACTCTAGGGACTTGATGGAGGATTGGACTGTTGGCTTTAAGTGCACTCTGGCTGTTTAGTTAGTCGCGGAAGCAGCCTGACTTCTGGGAGGTGAACAGCAGGGAGAATGGCGCTGGGATTCGGATGATTACATTTGACTCCAGGACATACCAGCTGAGGCTCTGGCGCCTGCAGCAGGAAGGGATCTGCTGCCAGGCTATGCAGGAGGCTGCCGGACTCTTCCAGAATGATCTCCTGCAGCTTGGGGTAATCGATAGAGGCCACAGGCACATATGAAGTACAAGGTAGTCAACTGCCCATGGTCCCGTTTCCAAGAATATATATGTTAATTTGCCATCAATTTGGGATGGAATAATCAGGAAGAAAATGGAGGTTAAAGCATGTATCTCAGATGGTGTGGTGATTGCAATGACTGAATTGGTGTTTTCAAAGTCCAGAAAGTTAAACTCTCCCTCCATTCTTCCCAAAGAATGCCACGTTTCAGTTTTCTTTGTCTTAAAAGTAGAAAATGCCCCAGAAATACAAATGAGATGGGAAGGTGCTATTGAGGATAGGGACTGAAGGAAGAAAGAAGCCATTTCCCCCTCAAGGTAGTTTTAAGACTATAATAACAGGATGCATCACTAGCTGTTTAAATTTCAGAAACGCCCTTTTATAGGGCTGGTACTGACTCATAGCTTTTTAAATTTGCATATAGTTCCGTATCATATTCTAATTTATCACCACTTCCATCTCAAATAAGATGACTACAATGGTGGTATTTGGTCCATTTATCCTTGTGATTCCAAAATAAAGCATAAAGTCAATTGAAATAACAGCAGTGGGACAATTAAAAAATTTCCGGATACTGTATGACAGAGCTACATCCATTCAGGCTGCATGTCTTGCTTTTGTGCTGGGTTTTTTGTTGTTGTTTTTTTTTTTTGTCTTTTTTGAGCCAGCTTCTAGAGGAGGCCTATTTAGTAGTCAGTATTGCTAAAAGTCTACATTTTCCTTCATAATGTGAAAACTAGATTTGGTTTTCCCTTGAGTATCCTTAAATCTACAGCCTGCTTTTTCCTGTCTGTGAGGAGAATTTGGATACGTGCTTGAAAAAAAAGAACAAAGCACATATACCAAAGAATTTGATTGTGTCATCGAAACTGCTTAGAAATGGAAATGATATTCACATTGTATTCATCTTGACTCCTTGATTTGGAAGGAATGAATGTAATATTTAATGAGCCATTTATTGTTTTTAAATGCTAATCACTTGCAGATTCCAAAAGGCTAGTGACCCACTTTAAAACTCTCCATTTTGAAAATGCAGTGCTGTCCAACTACTTGGTTATTTGGTGTGACACTGAAAAAAATCATGCATTCTTTTTTACCATTATTTATTCTACTTTTCATTCATAGAATTCTACAAGCTCTGAAATGTTTTAAATATCCGTAAGTGTTTTCTGGAGAAATCTTTTTACTACACCATTATACTTGATACTCCATAGGATTATTATGGACATTAGAGTAAAAGGCTTAAAAATTAGGCTTTGGTTTTAATGTAATCTGGGCAGAAGTTGGCATTGCTTTGATAACACACTTCAACTACTGCACAAATTGTATTATTGTACTTTAAAGTAACATTTAAAATAACAAAGTTTCCCCTTTTAGTAGTTATCATCTGTATTATTTAAGACTGCTGCAAAACTCACAAGAGTGAAATGAGTAAGAAGAAAGTATAGGAAAGAGATAAGACAAAGCTTTATCAGAACACAACACAAAGGAAGAACATCAATTCTCTACATTTGTCTATAAGGCAGATGGTCAAACTTTTTATACAAGATCTAAAATATGGTGTTAAGAGGTAGAAAATACCAAAACAGTATTTAAGAAAAACTTGTTGAGTTATTTAAAATAATCAGTTATTTTGCTAAACTTTTAGAAAGTCAAACTGTTGTGTGAAATGCACTGTACGTTTTAGGCTAAACTGGAACATTCCATACTCAACAGAGCTGTGGTAAAGTGTTGGGAACGTGGGGGTGGGAGTGAGAAGCGGAAAACAGTTTAACTTGTCAAGAGTTCAGTTCTCACTAAGGAGAAATTTCCTGCTGTGTCTCTGGGATGCCACTATAGCATTTAATTAATGGGAATTTCTCCGACTGATGACAATTTCTCTGCGTAACAGGGTACAATTTTGCACATAAGGCAATACACCTCTAGGGAGGGATGAGCTCAAATGCTTTCTCCTCTTCAGGAAGGTGCCATATCTATCTGATATAAAAAACACACATTCCACTAATCTTATACCATCCTCCCAACCACCAAAACGCAAATGCAAATATTCTTCAGACTCCAGCACCAGCAGAATTGTTCTGTATGAGCAATTCAAGAGCTGTCGGAGGCAAAAAGATATCTGAGCTACCAAATTAAACCTGGGTAGCTTACGCATGAGTGAGTAACCCTGGGTATTCGTATTTTTTAATGCACCTGGGAGAGATTTTTTTCTCCAACACAATTTTATAAGGCATAAATTTAATTTGAATTTTCCTAACCTTTGGAAAGTTAGTGTTAAAGCTTCTTTTTTAACCCACACGTGAACATTCAATCTTTCATTTTTATTAAATAGTTTATATATAAAATGAAATATCAAGGTGTTCTACATTCATATAAACAATCGTGATAACTTTGAAATTGTAAAGAAACCTACTGAAGAAAATACATACTTAAATACTTACAACGCTAAGCTAAGCACAGGTGATCATTCTAAATAATTTCTTTTAAATACACAGACACAGGTGTGTGGCTTCAGAAAGCAAACACAGGAGAAGTAGAAGGGTGTATCACTCTGCTTTCCTTTTTCACCATAAGACAGGATGGTCCAGTTTGGAAAAACCAAGATCTTTTCTAAGTTCCAAATAGGTGCCGTTGCTCACCCAGGAGTCATCATTGGATTTCCTGTGAAAGATAAAAAGAATTTCTTGAAGGCTATTGAAAATATTGTCATACCCCCTCTTTCCCTTTCTCTCTTTTCTTCCCCACTCCCCCCACCGGGGCCTGGCCGTCATTCCACGTGCATACACAATTATCCCTGACTGTCTCATACGGGCACGGTGAGGGAACGGGAAGCCCGGAAACCATTTTGTTACTTCGGACTTCGGCTTCTTCCAAACTTGGAGGCTGCGAAAAATGGTGCTTCTGAGAGAAGCATGGATAAGGGAAGAGTCTGTCATACATAAAACACGGCTGGGATGACGGCCACCACCTTGGGTGTGACTCTGTAAAAGCTACAAATCAACCAGGTTGTTCATATCAAGTTATAAGTTAGCATTAAAAACAGAAGGAATTGGAAGACAGAAGAGTCAGGAGAGAATAGCCTTGGTTCACTATTTGAATAGATAATATATTAAATAGATAAAAATTCAAAAGGTCCAAAAGCGTGGATAGTAAAAGCCTTCTTTCTATTCCTATCTCCCAGACTCCAGTCCCTTTTCTTCAGAGGCAACGATCTTAGACGCTTCATTCCTTCAGAGAACTTTCATGCACGTATGAGCATGCACGCATACACATCCACACTCCACCCCTCTCCCATTTTTTACACAATGACAGCCCTGTATGGCGTCCTACCCCTTGAGTTTTTGACATAACAACATCTACTGGAGATCATTTTCCATTGTCACAATAAGGTCAGCAAACCAGCCCAAGGGCCACATCCAGCCTTCTGCCTATCTTCGTATTTTTGTGTTTTTTTTTTAAATTGAAGTATAATTAACATACAATGTTATATTAGTTTTAGGTATACAACATATTGATTCAACGGTTCTATACATGTCATCATATCAGTGGTCACCACAGTAAGTGTAGTCACCATCTGCCACCACACGTTATTATAACGTTATTGACTACATTCCCTGTGCTGTGTTGTTCATCTCAGTGACTTATTTATAGGTAGATCCCCCTTTAATCTTAATCCCTTTTTATTGGACCACCACCATGCCCATTCGCTTCACTATCGCCTATGGCTGCTTTTATGTTGCACAGTGGGCTTGGGTAATTACTCCTAAGACCTTACAGCCGGCAAAGCCAACAATATTTACCATTTGTCTTTTATAGGAAAAGTTTGGTGACTCTGGCAGTAGGGAATCCTGATTTCTTTTTAAACAGTTGCATGATATTCTATTGTAGAAATGGACCACAATTTAACAGGTACCTTACTGGTGAGCCTTTAGGAGGTTGTTTTTAATCTCTAGCTATCAGAGACATATGTTAATAATAATATGATAGATACACACCGATATGTAATTTTGTATGCACGTGAGTATAGTTACATTAAAAATTCCTGTAAGCAGAACTGCGATGTCAAAGAGCACATTCATTTGTAATTTTGTCTGATATTTCGTATGTTTTAGAAGCAAAAGCGGACAAGTGCCTGTTTTCCTATGCTCTCGGGGACACAGATTTTTGTCACACTGGTTTCCCTCTTCTAATAAAGGGATGTGTCTAAAAGGAGCCGGTCTGCCTATCAGACACTTTACTATGACCCAGAGGAGCCCGGCTCTGTCCCAACTCTAGTTTCCACTTGGAATTCCCTCTGACGGGCCTCTCGGTCACCTCTTCGCCAGGACCACTACTGCTGAGGATTCTTGCCTTTTCTCCAGCTCTTTGCCCCATCCGATACTCTGATAATTTCACAGACAATCCAGAGGAAAAATAGCTAAGGCCACCTGGCTGTAGCCGTGTTTGGTCCTTTTCCACTCCATTCTAGACGGTTGCCACAACAGCCTACATAACGTTTTATAGTTTGTATTTAAATGTCAATTCCTTTTCCATAGAGCTCCACAGACTTTGTGAAGTCATTTTTGATGCTTTCACATTAGGTCGAATTGATGACTCTCTCTCCCTAGTTCTTGAGACAGCTTAGTTACCCGCAAGTTTTAATGATCCTAAAAAATACTGCAGTGAACATCTTTATAAATGTAATTTCCCTTGTTTAAAAATGACACTAGATGATTTATGAAAGAAAAAAGAAAAGAATTGGCCTACTTAAGGGTATATGTGTATGTCTATCAATTATCAGTAAATCAATGGATCAGTCTGTTCATCTATCCATTTATCTACCTCTTGCCTTTTAAAAAAATAGTTTAAGGTGTCTTGTTTTTAAAAATATTTAAACACAACCAATGAATCATTAACACTGTATCAAAAACTAATGATGTACTATATGTTGGCTAATTGAACATAAATAAAAAAATAAAAATAAATAGAATATTTAAACAAAGTTATGAATATTTTGGGATGAAACTCTGGCCAGTTGAATAATCTTCATTTGCATGTAACCAGAGTTTGTGGAAATGATCAGAAGGGACCTGACAAAATCCACAATGACTCTAGGGGAAAAAAGCATAATATTTTGGGGATAAAACATCACTTATTGCTATTTTGCCGTTTTGGAATACATACTTTATTGCTGCTGCTGCAAGATGAGGAGCTAATTCCTGTTGTCCATTAAAACACAATGACAACCAAAAACAAAAACAAAAAAACCCAAACAACAAAGCCCTGGCTGCTCTGAAAGTAAGAGAGGGGTGGAACCGGCAGGGCAAGAATCGGCTGCTTTCCTCTGTGGGCCTCATTTGTTTATTTATTTTTTTAAGGAACAAACAAAAAAGCCCCCCAAACCATACAGAGCCCTGGCGTGTAGGCAGGAGGGCCAGGCCCCAGTCCAGGACATTTCACTGGGGCCTTCTGTAGATTTCTTCTCAGTTACTATGAAAGAGGGGGTGGAGCACTGATGGTCTCTGATGCCCCTTCTAAATCCTTACGTCTACTTTTAACAAGACCTTGAATGGCAAGTTATTTTAAAATGAATAGTAAATGTTCTACATCCAAACTGAAGTGTTTTGGAACTTCTGCAAACCAAGCATTAGACCCTGTGCACGTGCCATTGCTCCAGAGGAGAGGTTTTAGCACTCCGGAGCAAGAAAGATGCCAAGAACGCTCGCATGTGGGGAGGGGATGGAGTTGCCCCCTCCCTTCATCTAGAAGCCTCAGGTGTCGCCAGTCCCTGTCAGCCCAGGACCCACGCGATGGGTGCGCGCACCTGAAAAACCGGGGCTGGTGCTCCACGCGGTTTTCTTCTAAGACCCGCCGCCTTTCTCTCTGCAGCTGTTCGATTCTCTGCTTTTGTATTTCAGCCTCTTCTATGTTCCCTTCTTCGAGAAACCTGGGGCAGTAAGGGGGAAAATCACGGAACACAAATTCCAAGAAAACACTGTCATCGTGACTACTCGAATTATGTGTCTACAACTGGAGATTCAATATGCTTCCCTATCCATAAGAACCCTCTCCGACCCTAAAAATGGTTATTTTGCGGCAGTTAGGGAAGATATTCTTTGTGGAATTGGTGATACATACGTGGTTCAAAACATTGTATCTATAAAAAGGAATTTGTCCCTTTCTTCCCCATCTCTCATCCCCCTGCCTCCTCACCACGCCCTTTCCCGGGAGCCTCAGAGCACATCAGACTGTTGTTAAATCTTTGCTGGCTGGTAGGTGAAGAATTGGTATGTCAACATGTTTTTAAACATATGCATTTCTTTCAGTGAGACTGAGCATCTTTTCACATGTTTACGAGAGAGCTGCAGTTCCTATTCTGTGGACAGTTAGTTCATTTTCCTATGTCATTTTTAATGAGTTCATCTTGATTTCTGGAACCAATTCATGAAATGAGTTGCAAATATAGATTTCTCAGTTTGTCATTTATCTATGTAATTCTGGGTATGTATATATACATAAACACACACATAAAATATAAAAATATATATAAATGTGTATATATATATATTTTACTTTGCCATGAAAAAGGGTTTTTTTTTTTTCTTAAATAAAATCAAATATATATTTTTTTCCTTTCTGGGTTTGGAGTCTTAAATTAGGCCCAAGGGCAGAGATAATTATGTCCATTTTACAGAATAGGAAACCGAGACTAGGAAAGTTTACACAGCTTATTGCCAGCAAACGTAGGATCAGAAATTAGATTTTTGTGCACCAAAGTAATTTAAATCTGAGGGGTAAGGGAGCTGGGTGCTTTTCACTCTTTCAGATACACAATAAGTTCTGTATTATTGTATGCAGTAAAACTCTTAAAAATAAACACTTTTTCGGTTATTTCAATAGAAATAAGGCTCTACTGATGAATAAAGGTCAGGCCACATGTAGAATTAAGCTGGGCTCCCCTCCTTCCAGGAGATGATTGCTTCAAGGCCCCCCAAGGCCTCTACTCCTGAGGACACTGTCTCTCTCGGTCTGGGAGTTGTTAGTAAGACTTTTCATAAGGAGTTTTACATCTCTGGAGATAAAGATCTTTTAAAAAGTGCTTACCTTTGGTCTGGTCTAAATCGAGTGTCAGTAGGTGGTAATAAAGACTTTGACAATGGGTCCATTTCATTTAATTCCAGGGCAAACTGTGTGAAGCCATAATATTGCTCATAGCCCTTTGGCATGGGATCTAAATGAAAAAGAAATCATTCATCTCTAACTTGCCTTCCATTTACATTACATTTTAATTCCTTCACCTTTTTCATCTCAGATCAGCTGTAATTTTTCTCTCTCAGCTCTAAATCCTCCCATTTCTAGTAAAGTATTCTGGCTAACAAACTGGTGGTGAATGTTCCTCTATAAATCTTTTTCTCTAGAAGTTTTCTTCTACCCACAAGGATCAGACCTCTTTCGTGTGGCCATATAGGGAATTCATGTAATGCCATGAAGTTTTTGTACTATGTAAGCTATAAAAATAATTTGTTACAAAAATAAACACGTTAAGGGGCGCGTGGGTGGCTCAGTCATTAAGCGTCTGCCTTTGCCTCAGGTCATGATCCCAGGGTCCTGGGATCGAGCCCTACATCAGGCTCCCTGCTCAGGCTCCCTGCTCCGCGGTAAGCCTGCTTCTCCCTCTCCCACTCCCCCTGCTTGTGTTCTCTCTCTCGCTGTGTCTCTGTGAAATAAATAAAATCTTTAAAAAAAATAAACACATTAAAAAGAACTCTGGGTCCATTTTTTCCAGACGAACAAGACTCACTCTGGAGAATCCATTTTTCATTTAAGAGATATCAAATCCTCCTGGAACTCTGTCTAGTTCCTAGAGTAGTGTGGAACCCTACCCAAGTGAAGGTTATTCTTTTCTTCCATGCCTGCCCTTCTTTTTACCAACTCTTGTCCCTCCAAATCTTACATATTTAAATTTAAATTAAATTAAATTGAAATTTAAATCTAGTTCAGCTGAAGCCAGGAGTAAACATGGGATCATACCAGCAGAAATGCTGCCTGATGTGAAGGGGACAGAGAAAATGGGACCGAATGAAGTAAGGCTGTTGGACTACTGCCATTCTACAGGATGGGACTATCCAGCTCTCCAGCGGTGAACATGTTGTTATCATTCAAGTAAAGGGAAGAACGAGTGAAGGTGATTCAGAGATCATCAGGGCTGCCCTTCCCACCACAGGCCCAGACTACACAGGCCCAGGGGGGAAGGCTGCCTCCACCTTTCAAAGGGTGGGGCCACTGCTGCAGTTTCAACCTGCCGTGCTGCCACCACCTAGAGCCTTGGGGGCCTTGGGAGCAGGGCCTCTGCCCCAGCAGATCCAGAGGGCGGGGCATCGAGCCAAAAAATTATCATCTGCTGTCTTAGGATCTAGTGGCATTTTGCTTTTTTTCTTTTTAAAGATTTTATTTATTTATTTGACAGAGAGAGAGAGGCACGAGAGAGGGAACACAAACAGGGGGAGTGGGAGAGGGAGAAGCAGGCTTCCTGCGGAGCAGGGAGCCCGATGCGGGGCTCAATCCCAGGACCCTGGGACCATGACCTGGGCCGAAGGCAGACGCTTAATGACTGAGCCACCCAGGCGCCCCTAATGACATTTTTCCTACTGGGTTTTGGACTTATCTGGTAGCCCATCACCCCTTTCTTCTTTCCTATTTCTCCTTTTTGGAATGGGAACGTCTATCCTACGCGTGTCCTGCCATTGTATTTAGAAGCACATTTTTGGCTTCACGGGTTCACAGCTGGAGAAGATGAATTATACCTCAAGTCTCACCCATACCTGATTTAGATGATATTTAGCTGAGACTTTGGATTTTAGACTTTAGAGTTGATGCTGGAATGAGTTAAGATTTAGGGGGCTGTTAGGATGGAATAAATATTTTACATGTAAGAAGGGTGTGGTTTGGGGGGGGCAGGGGCAGTGTCATGGGCTGAATGTTTGTATCTTTCCAAAAATTCATATGTTGAAGCCCTACCCCTTCGTATGGCTGTATTTGGAGAAGGAGTCTAAGAAAGGAATTGAGGTTAAATAAGGTCGAACGGGTGCAGCCCTGATCTAGCGGCTGTCTGCAAGCCAAGAACACGCTCTCACCAGAACCCAAATTTGCCAGCACCTTGGTCTTTGATTTCCCAGCCTCTAGAACTGTAAGAAAACACATTTCTGTTGTTTAAACCACCCGATCTGTGGTATTCGTTATAGCAGCCAGAGGATTAGCCCAAGTGGTCTAATCCAAGTGTATTGCTCTAACTTGAATCCCAGCTAAAAATGAAGCTAAAAATACCAAGTTTACATATTGAGTAAATCAAATGCAGGCTAATAAAATCCACTCCTAGCCTAGCAAGATTTACTCTCATGTACAAATACAAACACTTTCCATGAACTATTCTGCAAACCCAGTTTTCCAAGCTTTAGGAGTCCTTTCTAATTTTAACTCTAATCTTCCATGTATCCTAGTCATGAAAATCGTAGCAAAGCTTCCTACTGTGCCTTCAAAAATCCAGCCCAGTCTCCCAACCACCAGAGTAAAGACAGTGGTTCTTCTTGAAGATGGTCCAGGGACGCTCATGGCCAAGGCAGAAACACAAAGTCAGTGAGCAACAACAAGCGTAACAGCTCACAACCACCATGTGCTTTGTCAAGGCGCTACTTTAACATCCCAAAGAGGAAGGCAATTTTCATCTCTGATACATACTTTAAGCAAAGGACAGTGTCTCTCTGAACTTCTAAAGCTTGGAAGGTGGCCACTGATGCCAATTCATTCTGGCTTCATGGCCACCTCCGTGACCATATATGGTTGCTACCCAGTGAAAAGAGACATTGTTGGTTGCTTACCCTACAGTTATTTCCCTTTCTTACTTGCTAATGGGAAACTGATCTCTTCATATGGCATTGTGTCCTCCCTTGGGGGTGAATCTAAGCCCATCTGAATCTCTTCTGCCTACCCAATTGCCCCTGACTGGCTCAAGGATGGGTTTGGACCCACTTGAGGCCAACAAGACTTAATGATACATTTGCTGGGGAATCCTAGTAAATATTTCCTGAAAAAAAGGCACAAGAGAAGACAACTCTTTTGTTCTTGCTTCTCTCCTGCTTAGTGACCTGTCACATGGGGATATGATATTGAATCATGATAAGTGTTTTACATCCACGAGGGGACACATCACTGCCATATTGGGAGTGGAGGAATGTGTCGTCCGTGGTCTGTGCTCTTGACACAGGTACGTTGCCTGTGTAACAACCGTGGGGCCATCCAACCCCTTACTTTTTAAGTAATAGCACACATCCTAATGGTTTAAGTTACTCTTAGAATGGTCTTTTTGTCTTATTTTGATCAGCCTAAAGCATACTAATGGTGGTATCAAAGAACAATCATTTATAATATGGCCAAGACTTGGAAATATACTAATCAGATTAGAAGGTGGACAAAGTCTTAAAATGTTTTGGGGGCCATGTTATGAAGGTTTGGCTTCCCTAGCCCTCCCCATAGCTGCTTCAAGGGCTCAGTATTTTCTAGAATTACAAGAGAGACCAAAGTGGCTAATGGTATTGGGTGAATCTGGGAGACCCCTAACTTTTATAGAAGCCCCAGGTCACTCTTCTTGTCTAGTAACAGTTTTCTCTTTATTCATTCTTACTCTAGAATGACCTCTTGTACTTCACTGCCACTCCTCCTCAGCGCCCAGGATAAGGCACAGGAGTGATGTGTGTAGCCCGGAAGACTTCCTCGGAGAGAGTAACCGTGGATGAGCAATGGCTTTGTTCTGGGGTGAAGAACCCAGGACCTAGCAGACCACCTGAGGTGTCGGTGAGAAGCACAAGGATGAGTTTGAGATAGGACTGCTGAGTGAAAGAAGGGCTGGCTGCTCGAACAGAGTTCAAAGCAGGCAGAGGCTGGAGACCCTGGACGGCAGACACTGATGCCAGCCCGTCCGCAGTTCCTCTGGCCATGCCCCCCGACCCCTGGCCCGAGACTGATTAACTGGGGTACCGACTCGCTCTCCAGACACAAGCGGACGAAGAGGAGCCACCGCAGTAGATGCTTTCATGCCATTTCCCGAAGAGCCGATGCACCGCTTTTCCATTCTTGTCAAATACTGTACCTTCAATCTCACGGGCGTTAGTGCTCCAGTATTTCGCCTAGGATTCAAATGAGAGTTAGCGGTTTAGTACTTGGAGTCAACTTATTATAGATATTAAGAGAAAAACAAAATTAAAGAGAAAAAAACCATAGGAATGATTCTACATTGCATATAACTTGCCAGTTCCAGGTTCTGGCTTTTTTTAAAATCATACTTTTAATTACTTAATAAAAATTAACATCTAACCCTTTATTTATTTATAGTTTGCAACGCAACAATCAACATTTGTGAGAGATACAGGTTTTTCCCCCCTACCTTTGTTACATACAACATCAGAAGGAAAGGCTCAGGTCTCACACATTGGCCAAGTAATGCGGTTGGCTCTTAAGCCCCCTCCCCCCCACCCGGGAATAGCTGTTCTGTGGATGTCACCATGGCTCTGACTATTGCAATTTCAGAGAAAAGTAACTCATATATATTTTTTCTCGACAGGAACTAGACAGTCTTTTGTAAACCAATAAAGGAGCCTCCTTTGTAAAGCAACCAATTTTCTGTTTCTCCCATCATTTCTCCCCCAAACTAGATTTGTTCATCAATCCACTGGAACGTGATACGACCCATATTCACCCTGTGGATTGATCCTGATCTGAGAGCAGCGCAGTCCAGCTCAGCCTTGTGGGTTTTATACAGTACCGCAAGCTGGCCAGCAGAGGGGGGTCGAACTCCCTAGAGTCGATTTTTCCCCCCAAGTCTCCCAACTACCTGGCTGCCCTAAAAAATCTCTACGAAAGAATGGAAGGCATTACTTCATAAATCAAAACTCCTAATGCTATTTTCATCCAAAACAGAATCCATATTTGGAAGCCAATAAAGTTGAGCAACATTTTGGGGCCATATTCTGGTGGTTTGATTTCCCCATTTTGTGTCTGTGGGGAAGATGGGAGGAAGGACAGAGGACAGCAACATCACAGAGCTGCACCAGAAACATAAACCTGAGGTCTCTACTCATGTAAAAATGGAGGAAAAGGGAAACAAACGCTGCCTAGGCTCTCAAGTTTATTCGGAAGCAGGAGTCAGATTTTCTGTTACAGATACTTGCTGACAAATCCAATGCTGGCAATACGGTGGGACGCCCCAGAGGAAGGCAGTCCATCTGGGAAGGGCTACATCTGCTTTCAGATTCTCTTTCAACACCAGGGACACATCCAGTGTCCTACTTCCCTCCTCTCTCATAGCCACAGAAATCGATCCTCTGGCCCTAAGTGTGTGAGTACCAGGTGGATGGTAGAAAGGGGACTCGAGCACATTTTCTTGGGCGAGCTGCTGAGAAGCAGGTGCCCTCACCTGGACGAGGGCATATATCCCTAATCCAGGTTGCCTTTTCTTCTTTTTGCAGAGAGCCTCCATGAAGTTTTCGAGGCAGGTTCATTTTTATCTCACCCTAAACACTATTAGCTTTTTATCTGTCTACATTCCAGTCTGAATTATAGGATATAAGACAGACTCCAGTCCACCTCTCCATAATGTCCCCCAGCAGCTGTAGGTGGTGCAGAGAGGTACTGCATGAAATTCCACAATTAGAGCCTCATCTCTCTGCTTAGGATTTTGACCTTTTAATTAAATGCAAATACTCCTTTAAAAGACCATTTTAAATATATGAAAAATTTTTAAGATTTTATTTATTTATTTGACAGAGAGAGAGATAGTGAGAGCAGGAACACAAGCAGGGGGAATGGGAAAGGGAAAAGCAGGCTTCTTGCCGAGCAGGGAGCCCGATGTGGGACTCGATCCCAGGACCCTGGGATCATGACCTGAGCCGAAGGCAGACACTTAACGACTGAGTCACCCACGCGCCCTAAATACATGAAATTTTTAAGGGCAAGAGGAATCTAAGGGAATTAAAGCACTTGGAAACTTAAGCAGACTATTCCATGCTTTTGCCTTTGGCCAATCTGTTCATTTACCCTATGAATGTTCATGAGCCTTTCCAGACATCAGCCTCCAGCAGTGAGCAAGATTAGATCAGGCTTTTGCTTTTCCGGACTCAGGGATGGTGAGGAGGGTGCGGGGAACAGAAAATGAAAATACCCAAGTAAACCAACAGTGAGCAAGTTAACTCTGGGTGGGAATAAACACTTTGAAGAAAATGGGATGTGACAGAAAGTGACTAACAAGGCAGGGCTGATGGTGGAAGGATCTGGGGAAAGGGGCCCAAGCAGAAGGAGGGGGAGAGAGAAGAGCCAGTGTGGTCAGAGGATGGCGGGGAAGGAAGGGGAGGAGGGGGTGGTGGGAGCTGAGACTGGAGAGAAAGGAGCGGGTGTGTGCGTGCGCGCATGCACACCTACGCACATATAGGCAGGTGTGTGTACATACAGCCATGTGTAGGCCTGTGTGTTCACAGAGGCGCATACACGCAGGTGTGCGTGCGCATGTGTGAACATAAGGGGTGGGTGGGCAGTGCATACCACACAGGGCCTTTGTGGGCATTGTCAGGAGGCGGGCTTTTATACTGGGAAAGATGGAAGTTGTAGGGGGGGACTTCTGTGATATACACCATGACTTTCTTTTTTTAAATTCTAGTAAAATATACGTAACAAAATGTATCCCTTTGACCATTTCGAAGCATACAATTCAGTGACATTAAACACATTCACAATGCTGTGCAACCATTATCATTATATATTTCCAGAACTTTTTCCATCTTCCCAAACTGAAACTGTGTGTCCATTAAACACCAACTCCCATTCCCCAACCCCCCAGCCCCTGGTATCACCATTCTACTTTTTGTCTCTATGAGTCTGACTGCTCTAGGTACCTCACAAGTGGGGTCATACAGTATTTGTTCTTTCGTGTCTGGCTTATTACACTGAGCATAATGTCTTCAAGCTTCATCCATATTGTAGCATGATGAGTTATGTTTTAAAAGGGTCCCTCTGGCTACTGCCTTGAGGACAGACCATAGCAGAATACAAGTGGAAGGAGAGAAGCCAGAGGGGCCATGGCCCTGATCCAGGTGAGAGAGGTTAGGAAGGGGGACACCAGGGAGCTCCTGGCATTGTTTGTGATGTTCCCTGAGATATCCTGTGCCCTCAGGCCCCAGCTCTGCCAAGGCCCTTCTAGGGTTGGGGTCGAGCTCAAGGGGCCACCTGGGTTACCTTTATAAAATTCACTTTGCAGTGGCAGGAGTCATCGTTCAGGTTCTTGATGACAATCTCTCCGTAGTGCTCAATCCATCTCTGCCCACTTAAGATGTTATGGATGCAAGAGGTCACTTTGTTCCACTCAAAATGATCTCCGAAGCTGAAAAGGAGGAAACAGTGACGTTAACAATTCCCAGAAGAGCCAGCAACAAATGCAAACAAATATTGCTATTTAAAAAAATAAGTCACAGGATGAATTACTCATTTCTTCGTTGACGGAACCAACACTGACTGAGGGCTGAAGCCGTGCTGGGCCTCGTGAGCTTCTGCTCTCTAAGGAGACACGAGGGTACAGCGGGCCATGGCAGGCCGCAGCGGGCAGGGTTGGGCACTCCGGAAGCTGCCAGGGATTTCACTAGAAGCTGGTGATCTCCTGGAAAAACCCACTCTGTCTTTGGACAGAGGAGAAAACTGAACGCCAGAGGTGATTTGTCTAAGTCATCAGACTAGAAAAGGGAAGAGGCAATGGGGAAGGTGTGGTGATCTCACAGTCTGCTCTCTCTCTACACACACACACACATGAATACACACATCTATATGTGTACATATGTATACCTGTGTGTGTGTGTGTGTGTATATATATATATATATGCAGAGACACATTATCTATCTTATATATAAATCTTAAAATACACATGTCTTAAACCTTTTTATGATGAGGAAGTATTCAGGCACTACTTACAGAGTCATATAACAGTTGTGAGGATAATGGTAATAAGACCAAACACTTAACATGGCATAGGCTCTGTGCCAAGTACTTTTTTCAGTGCTTTACGTATATTACCTGTTTAATCTTCACAACAGTCCTGCAAAGTAGGTAGTTTATTATTCCCATTTTATAGATGAGGGAACTAGTGATCAGGAAGGTTAAGTAACCTGCCCAAGGATTTGCAGTTAGTAAGTGAGCACCTGAGTCCTGCTGGCCCCACCCTAGAAGCCACCCTCGCAGCCATTTTGCTTTATAAATGAGGATCAATAAACCCTGTAGGATCAAGATCATATTTTTCTTAAAAGGAATTTTGACAGTGAGGTACGACAACAATGTTAAAGCAAAACTACCATTCTTGATTTTGTTAGAAAGTGAAAATGAGTTTTTAAAAAGCTTCTGTTCAGGGAACTTTGGTTTCCAGGTAGCATTCCCATTTGAAGGAAAGAAAATGTGAGCTTGTCAAAATAAGCTACATTTGAACTTACTGTCAAACCAATTAAAAGAAAAAAAAAAAACCATATACTCAGCACCAGGGGGTATAATGGGAATCCTATTCCTAAAGCTCTATCTTGGCCCTAAATTCTGTGCAGTTCCCAACCACAGAAGAACTTACGCTGGCAGAGTCACATGGGTTGTGCCAATGGGAACAATTTCCATAGATTTGCCCCAGAATTTGTTTTTCCATCTCACATCTGAAATGAAATACCAATTAGCACATATTTAGCAGGAGAGCTACACAGATCAAAGATTTCTTAGGCTGGATAAATAATCCCTATATATAGAACAATCTCTTCATAATAAAATCCATTACATTATAGGGTAACTTTTCATTCAATCTAAGTACCAACAAAATATCTGGAACAAAATCAGGAAAATTAAAATTATAAGATAAAGTCCCTCTCTTGGGACTCATGGTATGAAAGGCAGACAAAAGTGAAAACAAGTAATACTCAAACAGAGAGGCACGGGTTATAACTGAGGATATTTTAAGACGAAATGGAGCCAGAGAAGCAGGAATGACCAATACTCTTGGGAAAGCATTAGGAGGGGCCACTTAGATCAGGCTTTGAAGAATAAGCAGGAGTTCACCAGGCAGAGAAAAAGGGATAGAAGGCATAAGACAGCTTGTTCAAAGGGAGAGAGATATAAGAGAACAGGGTGTGCTTCTGTCCTATGGGTCTTGGATTGTTCAGAGAGAAAAGCAGAGAGACAGACTGAGTACAAAAACAGTGGGCTCTAGGAGCCAGGCAAGGAAGTTTGGTATGTATGCGCTGGGGGGAAATAAGATGTTTGTTTAGACAGAAAACACATGTGATTAGATACAGACTTTGCAAAGACAATTGGGAGTAATACAGAGAATGGACCAGGAGCACAAGAGATGAGAAGCAAGGTGACAAGTTACAAAGCTGCTGTAACTGATCAAGAGATAAGTGAGGATGAAGTGAACTAAGACAGTAGTGGACAGAGTAGAAGGGAATGATTCCAGAACGATGAAAGAAGTAGAAATAGAACTAGTTGGCAAATCAGATGCAAATCCTGAAAGACAGGGAGAATTTGTAGATGATTTCATATTTATCTCACTTGCATAAATGGTGGCACCATCAGGGAGAGAAATAGAAAAAGAATAGGGTAGAGGGCGCCTGGGTGGCTCAGTCAGTTAAGTGTCTGCCTTGGGCTCAGGTCATGATCCCAGGGTCCTGGGATCGAGCCCCACATCGGGCTCCTGCTCAGCAGGACGCCTGCTTCTCCCTCTCCCACTCCCCCTGCTTGTGTTCCCTCTCTTGCTGTCTCTCTCTCTGTCAAATAAATAAATAAAATCTTTAAAGAGAGAGAGAGACTAGAAATAGAATTTTAAAAAGGAATAGAAAAAGGATGGCAGAGACAGGTGATTCCTCTGACTGCTGCATGACAATACACAGACCATGGGGGAGGAAATGTGAAAGCAGGGAGGCCAGTAGGGTGCCATGGCCATGATCCAGGAGAGTGATAGGGCTGGGACCAGGCAGCCCCTGGCCACATATACATGATTCCACTTAAATAAAATATCCAGAATAGGCAAATCTATAGAGATAGAAAGTAGCTAAGGGATTGCCTAAGGATGGAAAAGGTTGATGGAAGTTGGGGTGGGGGTAGGTATTAGCTAACGGGGTTGTTGTTGGTTTTTTTGTTTTTTGGAGTGATAATAAAAATGTCGTTTTTAAAAGATTTTATTTATTTATTTATTTATTTATTGAGCTCAAGCGGGGGGAGGGGTAGAGGGAGAGAAAGAGAGAGAATCTCAAGCATATGCCGCACTGAGAACAGAGCCCAACGCAGGGCTCAGTCCCACAACCCTGAGATCATGATATGAGCCAAAATCAAGAGCCAGATGCTCAACTGACCGAGCCACCCAGGTACCTCTGGAGTGATGAAAATGTTCTTAAATTGACTGTGATGATAATTGGACATCTTTGTGAATATCCTAAAAATCATCGAATCATACCTTTTAATTAGGTGAATTGTATGATATACAAATTATAGCTCAATAAAGTTTTTACCAAAGGAAAAAAAAAAGATGACTGTTTAAAGCAAAAGCAGTAATGATGTATTGTGGGGTTTATAACACACATAAATAAAACATGTCCACAATATGTGAAGTGGCATAATATTACTTGAAGACAGACTTATGATAAAGATACACAACATAAATCCTAAAGTAATAACTAAAAAACGAAACAAGGAGGTATAGCTAATAAGTCTACAAAGGAGATACGAGGGTATCTCCTAGATACCCTAGAAAGTATTCAGTCCAAAAGAAGGCAGAAAAAGAAAAAAAGGGAAACAACAGATGAAACAAAAAGACAACAAATACTAAAGAGGCCACATTTAAATCCAACTATATCAATAATCATAATAAATGTAAATGGCCTAAGCAACATGATTAAAAGGCAGAGAAATGTCAGATTGGATTAAAAAGCAAGATTTGGGAGTTGTGAGCCTATGGGAATAGGTGGGACTGCCCAGGAAAAAAGCTGATGAGGAAGAAAAGAAGGGGACCGAGGAGAAAACTGCCGTGTAAGGTAAGGAGCACACAGAAACTACTTGGAGAAAAGCCTTCTCGCTGCCTAATCCACTACTGAAAAATAATAATAAAGTGCTTACAGGGTCAATAACATTCAGCAATTAGAAGGTTACAGATCATATAAGAATTATTCCCAGGGGGTTTCAGTGAAATTTAGAGATGTTTTTAATCAAGCTTCAATTCTAACCTTTAATGGCAAAGATTCAGAAAAAGTACTACGGTACTTGTAACCTAAATTGGAATTTTGCCTCCAGAGAGAGGACCTGGGTGGCTGGGGACTAAGGTGGGGGAAGGAACTTTTTTTTTTTTTTAAACAAAGTGTATTTTCAAAACTCTTAAATTATATAGTTTTTTTTTTTTAAGGCAAAGGGGTAAATCAAGTGTCATCACTGTTAACAGAGAAAAATGCTTTAAAAACTGATGTGTGCTCATTGTTTGGAAAGCCAAGATGCTCAAATTTTCCTCAAATTGTACACTGTGCCTTTTGAATAAATATATAAGTTAATAAAATTAATTAATCCATTTAGAAAATATTTGCGGTCTTATGTATTCTTCAGAACAACCCACCCTCTTCCAAAATCCAAAATACAAACTGAATAGAGAGACAACAACCCCCAAACTAAAAAAACTCAGCAATCTAAAACATGCTGTTTAGAAATAAAATTAAAACTTTTCAAAAGCAAAAAAACCCTGTTGTCTAGACTCTGATAAATACCTGTAAATATTTAGTGTCTCTTGAAATACACAAGGCATTTCAAGTGGCTGTGGAATTAGAGAAAAAGTTACAGGAGTAAATGGTGGTGGCCCAGACACAGATGAAGAATTTTTTTTTTTTTTTAAAGGCACAACTAAATTATCCTCCTGAATCCTTAATTATGAAGTAGACAAGTATCGGTAATTGTTCAGGGATGAGAGGCAAGAATACCAAGTGATGCAGATCCATGCAACAAGGCCCAAGTCCAGGGTCCTACTTGTGATCTTAATAAGCACTTGCAGTAGTTCCTGAATAAAATAGATCTATAACATTACAAAAAATGACAGAGGACAAATATATGAGCACATTACCTTGCCAGAAAACAAAATTTCCAGACTCAGCGTGACAAGCAGAGATAGGTGGATGGTGGCTGACCTGATGGAAACAAAGGCCAGAAAACAAAAACTTAATTCACTTTTGTGTCTCATGAAATCCATTCCTTCGCCCCTGCCTTGAGAGGTAACACTGTGCAGTGTCAAAGTGAATGAAAACTTTAGTTTTCCTTCAACAAACCGGTCCTCAAGAGGGCGCTCCTGATACAGTCAGCCCCAATTCACTCAAGTTTGTCAGGCCTGAGAAGAAATCAGGGGCATGGAAGCCTCCTGAACAGCCAAGAGGCAAATGCTGGGGATAGAGACACGTTTTGAAAGATGTAAAAACTTTTAAAAGCAGGGTCAAGCAAGGGCTGCCCGCTCTTAAACCATATAATCCGACACTGGCTACCCATGTCAAAATGTCTATTAGCTGTTGAGAAAGTACCTGCAAATGTTTTAATTAAGGTATCAGATAATAAATATTTTAAAATGCTACCTCTGAGAAACACAAAAATGTTCTTGGCTCAGCAGGTTTTGTTGTTTTGAAAACTCTACATCACAAAACTCAGCCTCTTTTCAAATCACCTATAAGACTGGTCCAAGACAATTTTTTAAAAGAATAATGTTTCTATAAAAAAAGAGCCAAGCAATTACTGAAGAAATGTTAGTCAACTACTAAGAAAAACATTTTATTCATTTTCTGTCAAGATAAAAAATTCTTGAGTAAATATGTAATTTTGTTCCAGAAAAGAGAATCCCCTGTAATGGAGGCTGTTGCACATTTCCCTGGGGTCATTATTTCTGGTCCGTTCACTAATGAAGAAGCTAAAGAGAAAATGGCTCCTGAGCTGGGTTTCCTCATTATCTCAGTAATTCGAGGCAAGTGAGCATTGTACGTACCACGATTATAATTCAGGACCAGTGAACCCAGACTAATGCAGCCAGCAGTGTCTCACAGTTTCTCTGACTTTGCGGGTTCTTAGCAAGTATCTTACATTTAGAGCATCCAGCCTAATGCCTCCATTACACATGAGGAGACCAAAACCAGAAAAATTCAGTAAATGTTTCCCAAACACACCGACAGGGAAGAAACAGAGGTCAAACCCAGCATTTTCGGTTTACGTCAGTGGTTTTCATTCAATGGGGAGGTGACACATCTCCAACCATTCACCTTGCCCTGGACCCTCAGCTGTAATGAGGAACATGGTCTGAAAGCCTGTCACTTTAGGTGGAGAACTCTAGGACAGGCTAGGCTAGGCTAGGCTAGGCTAGGAGAGTCATTCCACATACACATTTAACTGATGGAATTGCAACTGTACCAGCTTGACCCGAAGAAAAGTAGAGACAAAGATTTCAATAGTCCATGTATCTTTCAGGTCTCAATAAACATAAATGCCAGACCTTATATGAGGTCGGAGATGCAAATTTGCTACCCCTTGGATGATTTTAGTTCCCACAGGCCTCTTAGGACTGTGGCCCCTCTCTCTGTGTCTATGGGACTTTCCAGAGCAATTTTCACTTCCAGCATGATTTAGAAGCCTAAGTCCTAAAATGCAACTCTCTGCTGGCCTTCGTTGTCTTTTTTTCATTGAACTCCTTAGAGATACTTTATATCACAAAATGCTGCATCCCTGTTCCCCCTTCCTCCCCCACCAGCTCTCAATGAAAACAATGGAGTTAACTATTAAACCTTGGGATCATATAAAACAAAACCAGGGAAGACAACACCTGCACCCTACTTCTTCCTTCCCTCCCTCCCCACCCCTCAGTGCAGCCGGTGAGGAGCTATGGAATGTGCGTGCCCCTTCCCCCAGAACGTAGGCATATTTTAAAGTGGATTATTAAAAGTAGATCATATTCATTCCCACAGAAACAATGTAGTAAAAAATGCAGGGTTCACAGCCTTGATCAAGAATTTGGCATTTTATAGGTGTGGCCAAATCTGGCTACAAACGTCAAACATCAAAGCAAAATACAGTACATACAAACTATAAACCTCTTCTGTAATAATTTTAAATCCCATAAAACTGGGATAAATATACTACCCACATGAATTATAAAAGAAGCCCTATCATACCATAAAATATATATACGTCCCATAAAAATGCAACTTCGACCTTTTAAAGCTATTGTGTCAAATACATGAATCAGTGCTTAGCAGAATACCTTTACGTGGGTTCAAAAGCTGTTTTCTGGATGAAGAAATTTCAACATTCAGATATCAGTGATTTTGCTTTTTTTTTTTTTTTTCTGGCTTAAAAGGGCCTTTGGGAGTGATTTATTTGGTGCACATTGCTTTTAAGAAGTTTACAAAGCTTCCCAGGAAAATTAAAGTGAAGTCTTATTTTTGAGATATTTCCTCACAACAGGTATTTATTCATGAAACATTCCTGGAGCATCTACCATGTGCTGCACTAGCATCAGGGAACAAGGGGGTACTTCTGGAGTCCCAGAGATGTAGGTCTTAACTCGGCAACATCATCTAATGGCTGAAGGGCCTTGAGCAAGTGTTTAAGTCTTTGGGCCCGAGTTACCTCATCTATAAAATAGGGCTAGGCCCACTGGCTTTACAAACAAAAAGATGACACATATAAAACTACAGAACCTTATGCTGGTAAGAAGTGGGCAGGGACTAAATTTTAGCCATTTCTCATCAGTAGTATTTCCATTGAGTTACCATGGTGACCTTGTGTCTTCATTAGCCTTATTCTATAAATTAGGAAACAGAACCTGTCCAGTGCTACACAGTTAATTAGTGATGGTGGGGGTGCTTTAAACTAAGGTCCTCTGATCTCAAATCCAGTGCTTTTTTATGTCCCAGTTGTCTCTCTATGGCTGCTCTCAAAGCTGGGCTCTGGTCCTCCCCAAAGCCTCCACACACCATTAAGATCTCATCTCATGGATGTTTAGACAAAGAATCTTTTGAGTCTGAACTTCCAATTTCTCTGAGTCTCATTTATGTCATTGTAAAATGAGGTCTGAGGGTCCCTCTGACTTCAAAATGCTCTAAAGCTAGTATCTAATTCTCAATGTCTCTTCAAATCCTAGCATCGGTGGATGTCAGCCAATTGGAAAAAGATTATACTAAGGCTTTGACTAACTCAAAGGTCCACTGAAAGGGGGTAATTCAAGGTTCATAATCTAATTTTTGTTGATGGCAATCTTTTTAAAATCTACTGGAATAGAGAATGATGAGCCCAATCTAACCTATCTAGGTGTTGGATTTAGTTGAGTTTCTGTTCTCGTTACATCTTAACCCAGATGTAACCCAGAAAGGTATTTGAGTCTGAACTGACCCAGCCCTGAAGCAGACACTGTCTGTCAGCTTACTGGATAAATCCAATTTAGATGGGTTTTTAGCATCCCTCTCTGCCTCTTCCTCTCCATCCCAAATAAGAGCAATTTCCAACTGGTAAAGATTCCCAAACATTCAGGAATTTAGCATATATGGTTCTTACTGTGCAGGTATTTATATGTATCTTTCTTTCTATAAGCCCAAAGTCAGTGATTTCCCCTACTAGTTGAAAATTCCGGTCATTTATTTGTATATCTCAAGACTTTCTTCACCCTGACCTGATCATTTTTTATTTATGCTTTAAATGTACTTAATATAAGAGGTGAATGGTATGGGGAGAAGCAGATGGGGAAAGAATACATTTTAATATTTGCGTATTTGTGTGAGTATATCTTTTTCAGATTTAGAAAAATATCCCTTAAATACATCACTTCTGCAGCTGTCCAAAGACCTAACTATAGATTCTACCTAGTTCCTGACTCGCCTCCAACCTCGAAGGGCAGCTTATAGAAAAGAGGACAAGTGCCAGGTGAGAAATCATGCAGGTGCAGGAGCCAGGTGAGAAATCCCATGGCGCTCATCATTTACTGACTGCCTCTGATGTGTCCAGCACTGTCCTAATCACTGAGGAAACAATACATTTTGGTGCAGAAGTGGGCGAGATAGATAAAGAAATAAGGACACAATTTGTCGGTAGTGACAGGTGTTAAGGAGCAGAATGCAAGGCCTGAGGATGGGGGGATGGTAAGTGGGAGTGCTATTCTAGACAGGGTGGTAGGGGCAGGACTCTCTACAATGGAATCGTCTGGGGCTAGAAGAAATAAGGAAGTTCACCACATGGAAAACTGGAAGAAACGCATCCCAGGCAGAGGACACAGGCACTGCTCAGGGCTGGCCAACGCTCCAAATATTATAAGAGAGGCAGAAGGCCAGTGTGGCTGACACTAAATGAGCACAGGTGGGAGAGGCCTGATCTCTGGGGCTAGCATCTCAGGGGCTTTGTGAGGCCATGGCCAGGACTTTGGATTTTATTCCAAGTGACAGGGAAAATCATTGGAAGGTGTAGAGTAGGTGTTGCTCCTGTTTTGAAGCAATCATTCTGGCTGTTGGGTGAGAAATTGGTTATGCAAACAAGAGACCCACTAATGAGTCTACTGCAATGATCCTAGTCATTGATTATGTTGGCTTGGGCTTGGAGGCCAGCACCAGTGGGGGAGGCAGTGAAAAATGGCTGGCTGCTGATCAATAGGATATGGATTCTAAGAAAAAGCTATTAAGGATGATGCGAAGGATGCTGGCCTGATTTTGGGGGAGAAGGCAGTTGCACCAATTATTTTCTCTTCCCCCATGTTCAGAGTTCATCACTTTGTTTGACAAACCCATGGCTTCTCGCCAAAACCAGAAACAAAAACACACATTAAGTGATGACTTGACCCAGAAGTGGAGAACTGGTTTAGCTGCCTTGTATTTGATCAGTTGCTAGTTCTATTTGAACAGCCTGCATTTCCCTTCTGATAACCTCTTTAAATAAGATGCCACTTTAATCAGTAGTGACAAACTCTGCCTACTAGTAGATAAAAGAGCTGTTTTATCGTGAGTGAGCATGCAGGGAGAGAAGTGATAGGTATGGTATTTATAAGTCTGTCCAAGAATGTGTGAGTGAGCATGCAGGGAGAGAAGTGATAGGTATGGTATTTTTTTTTTTTTTTTTAGGTATGGTATTTTTAAGTCTGTCCAAGAATGTATGTTCAGAGTTCTCATGATGAGTAACAGAAAAGCAAGGAGGGCTGAGGCCAGGGAGCAAAGGAAAAAAAAAAAGATTTCATTTGCATCTTTTATAGGTTAGTAACTTCCAATAACTCCATTTAGCTTTTCTGTCATGAACTCTCAACAATACATGGCTGGGGGAGGGGGGCCCAGGGGGAATAAATGGTTAGAATGACTCCAACAGTGATCAGACAACTGACGTTCCAGAGCCCCATCAGGAAATGATCTCTTCTAGGTAATAGCTTAACTGTATAGCCTTTATACATAAAACCTTTCCCAAAGGTATAAAAAGAGAAGCAAAGCTAACTGAAATCAGTTTTCTGAACCACCCAGTCTCCAATGAAGCTCCAAACCAGTTGGTCAGCTGCCTGCCAGGGGGCAGGAGAACCAAGTAAGGAGAACCTGTCAGCAGGACACCCAGTCCCCGAGGAGAAAAAGGAAGTCCTTTCTGAATTCCCCTTTTTCTGAGCTTATTTAGACAGCCAAGGCTGAATCACAGTTCTTGGCACAAAGCAAACTCCTCCCTGGAGAAGGTGGAAGAGCCAGGGGGTAGAACACAGGAGAGGAATGTTTATGATTTACTCCTGAATGTTGCTTATTCACAAAGGCCACACCCCAGACAACAATGGGAGCTGGGAACAAAATCCTACCCGAGTTTGGTCTAAGTGACAATGGCAGGCCAAGTCCCATCGTCTGATCAGAATACGTAACACTATTTTCCCATTGGCAGCCAATGACCCTGGCAGCTCTGAGCACCGTAACTACACCTACAAGAGAAAGGTGAGGGAGACCACTGGAGTCAAACAGTGGGCACTGAGAAAGGCTAATGCTCTAGGCCTCAGTTACCCTGCCTCTCTAATTGATCCTCACCTCACCTGCCACACAGCGGTACCTGAGCAAGTTCAAAAAGCACAAAGGACTCTGCAAACCTAACAGTTATTGTTGTGAGGAAAATGTGAACAGCAAATGCCTTCGCTGGTCTCTGACCGCATGAGTCATTTTGATGGTGCATTTCGGGGTCTTTTAGGTGAGAGACAATACCGAGGAGCGAAGCTGTGATGAAGCCAAACCCTGTGAAGAAGCAATTACTTCAATGTCTTTGGCCACTGACCACTTCGAACAACCACATCCCCACCCAAACCACAAAACAACATCCAGAGCCTTGGAGTAAAGGATAGATGTAGATTTTCAAATCTCAAAAACTCCATAGAAGAGTCGAGTTACCCTAGTTTCCTTCCAGGTCCTTTCACTTGGATATATGAGTTCCATCAACATGGAGCTCATGTTAGAGTAAAATCCCACCCAAAAATACTAATTTGGGAGTCCTACGCAGCTTATTACATTAGTCATTCAGTAAACTCAACTCACTGCAGAGAGGTACAAGAAAGCAAAGCAAGCCTCAAACTCTGAAAGCTGAAGTGTATCACCTGCACATAATGCATGCTGGTAGAGTCATGCTGCTCCCTCCATAAAGTAGAACGTCTCCTGGGCCAGAAGCAGAAAGAGCCACACTGGCAGGTACCAGCATGCAACATCCTAAACAGCCCGGCGCGCTCTGTCAGTGTGTGAAATTAGAAGGTTTTCATGCGCCATGAGTCAGCGGGTCAGCATAAACAAGGCTGGGAGAGGGAGTGCAGGAGGCTGAGCTCATGTGTCTCCTGGTGGCCGGGAATGGGAGAGCCCTGCCCAAACCCCTTCCACTCCTGGGGCAGTGGGCAGCTGAGCACCTCGAATTCAACAGCCACCTCTCCTTCTCATTCTACACTCACCTGGTAATGAAATTCTGGTTTCCCAAGTAATCTTTTTATGGAGAAAGGATGCCTGGCCATGTGATCAAGGCCTTCTGGTCCCCAGGACAGGTCTATTTTTTATAATAAATGCATAGAATAGCATCCTAGTTTATACGTCAGTTTCTTAAAGGCTTAGCTAGGGTGACTCTGTCCTTGGGAGACTCATCCATTCTTGGGTGTAGTCAAAGAACCAACATCTGAGGCCATAAGGCTAAATTCCAGGCAGATGAAGTGGCTCCATCACGATCAGGACTGGTGGTACCACATGGCTGGCTGGCTTTCTGTCAGAGACTCACCAGGGACAGTCTGCCCTTCAAACCACTTGAATTAGTAGAATAGATATATCTTATTTACTATTCTTAACACTGCATAGTAAAAAAAATTTTAAGAGTTGCCTCTGAAGATGAGAGCAATAACCATGTACAGAATGTTATACTGTCTTCAGTGCAAGTATTTTATATCCTAGTGTAGTATTTCACTTGAGCCTTATTGCAACCTAGGAGTTAAGCATTATCATTCCTGTTTTAGAGATAAAGACACTATTGAGGCTCAGAAAGTTTAAGTAGCTTATACAAGGCCACACACAGAGGAAGTGATGGGGTTAGGGTGTGAGAGCAGGTCTCCATTACACCCAGCACACCCTATACTACTAACAATGACCAGATCTCTTTCTTGCTTATTTCCTGGGGATCCATTTCACGGAACCAAAGACTGAGTTATGTAATGCTCTTTCTGTCTTTGTGCACACGTGTCCAGGAGCTCTGCTTTCTCTCTCTGCCACCATTGAAGGTGTGCAAGCAGATCCTGAATTTGGCCCTGCCCTGTCAGGGGCTTACGGGATAGAAGCTCAGCTTTACACGCAAGCTCACGTTACTACTCTTTTCTTACACCATTCATCCTCTCCTGATTGTCTGCTGTAGTCTGGGCTATTTTGGGCCGTAATTTTTTCACATGAGTGCATATAATGCCATGGTAACCAAATTATATTTTCATTTATTCCCATTCCATTTTAGCTTTAGTATTTAAATAACCCAGTTGAATTTGAATCGAATTATCTTTTCCTTTTAACTACTGATTTAACTCTCACTTCCTCAATATCAGTATTTAATTTGTTTTAGCTTCTAAATGGAAATCTACTAAAAATGTGCTTTGGGATTATTATATATTCCTTTCCCTTTCAGTCTCAGAGAACGCTGCTTGTCCTTGACAGTGAAGACCAGCACCAGCCTCCCAAGTCTCTCAGCTACACCGCCTTTCCTTTCCTACCCCCAAAATGCAAATCCACTGATAAAGGGGGCAGCAAGATAACAGGAAGGAAAATAATATGCTAGCATCCCACCCATTTTCCCTCAGTTTTCTAAGAACTGCGAGGAGAGAAATGTATCAAAGCAAATGTATTTAATGTTCCTAGGCTGACATTTAAGAATATGCAGAGGGTGGACATGTTGGGTCATTGTTTTAACTAGGGGTGAGAGGATTCTTTTTTATTTTCGGTATCAGTGCATCCTATCTTAGCTGAACAATTCCTTATTGACAGATACTTGGGATGTTCCCAATATCCCCCTATTACAAACTGGTGTCATGCATTAATCATGACTGCAAACACTCATATAACACTTCATCCTCCATGTACCAGACACCGCGCCCAGTGTGTGGTAGAGAGTATCTCATTTAATCATCACAAAGCCATCTGAGGTCTGTGCCAGTGTCATTATTTCCACCTTAAAGAGGAAACTGAGGCACAGAGAGGTTAAGTAACTTGCCCGGGGTTACAAACCTGGTGAGAGGTAGAGCTCAGATTTGAACCTACACTGGCTCCAGAGACCCTGCTCTTTCTTCTCGAGTATCATTATCGGCTAATGCTTAGGTGGGAAAGGCTCATGGAACTTCAAGGAATGCAGGCTACATAAGTATAAAGGATGTCCCTATATCAGATGAAGACAGGCATTGTCTGTCCCCAGCTCCCATCCCGCCGCAGTGCCCCCGCACCCGGAACAATGCTGGGTATGAGTTACATGCTCAAGAAATATTTATTGATCGAATGAATAAATACATGAATGAATGATTCCTCAAGAATAATGTCTGTGTTTGGTGCTACCCGTTTTGATGGGGGCATTCATATTCTAGAAGGACAAGGTCAATGAGTAAGGGCGCACACTTGAAACCTTTAAAAATCAGTTTGGCAAATGCTTCATCCTTTGCAAATGTGTCCCACTATGGCTCCACACAGAGGGACCCGTCGACGCCTACGGTCAAAGGCCTGCTCCGCCCCGCTAGTGTCTTCATGCTCATGCGGGTGGTCAGGCTCCAGTGCAAGGGAAATCGTTCCTTCTCTTTATGTGTAAAAGCACTATAATTATCTCAGCTGCTTTAAAGCTAGCAAAAGGTGGACAATAAATATTTCAAAAGCACATGTAATGGAAGGCGTAAGCAACTCCTCCAGGGCGGGTGGATAAAAAGGGTGTATGCAACAAACAAAAAGGGTATATATTCACCTGTTCTGAAAAGAACCGGAAGCCTTTGTCCTCACGGATACACTCATATGTTTCTCCAAGAACAGGATTAAAGGGCTTGCTCCCAGCTCGGAAGTAGCTAGATGCATATGCCGATACGGCAAAAGCTGCCACGTACACCTGAGGAGGGAGGAAAGAACTTGATTATTTCTCTGTCACCAAGACATTTTTTTACAAAATAAAACCTTTATTTCTCTCTTTATGGGTTATTTTGGAAAGCCAACAACTTGTCTTTGGTTTAGAGACAACCAAACCAACTTTGGTTCAAAGCGGCAGGTTTAAATAAAGTTCATTTTGGTCCAGAGACAAATGAAGCAAACATTTGCAAATGGCCCGTCTGCTCTGATGCCAGTTGGGAGAGGCTTTCAAGAGGATGATATTTATCAAGTGAGCTACCCTGTTTTCTTCGAGCTGTTAAGCTAAGTCCAGTACCTCTAACCCTGATAATCAGGAAGGAGAGAGAAGAAGAGCATAAAAAGAAAAGGAAAAAAAAAAAAGCCAAAGTTCCCTCAAAATTCAGGAAAAGCAACCATTCCTAGCTGGATGCCGTGGAAACCTACAAGCTCATTTTGACAAAAGAAAATCTAATAGGAATTTCCTGAGTTTCCTGTAACAAGCCACAGGACAGGGCATGGTGCCTTTGAAAGAGTCTTGGCTTTTCTGGGAGGGAAAATGAAAAATCAAAAGGCAAAGGAAGGACAGACTACAGATAAACATGAAATAAGCACTCACTGTGAGGCTCTCAGCATTTTTATCAGTTCCCTTTTCAGGGCACCAAAAAGACCCATTATTTTTCTTGTCTTTTTTGGGGAGCGGGTACAGAACATTGAACCTAGGTAGTGATGGCAACTTCCCCTTTCTACCAGTGAGTAACAATCTCAATGCCTCCCCTCCCCAGCACATTCCATGAGGTTTCTTATACTGGGGGGGTAAAAAGCTGAGCACCTTTCATAAATGTTCACTAGTCACACAACTTCTCTTAAGCCTTTTGCAAATGGGACCCACCTTTCCACTCGCTTATAAAAACCAATTCAGTATGCTAAATTCTGTCTTTGCTCTGGAAATCTGGGGTCTGTTCCTTTCTTTGCTTCCCCATATGTTGGTTACCGGTTAAACAGTAAGCTCACATTGCCTCTACGGAATGCTGAAACAAGCCTGCATCACCTTCACAATTTAAAATAAAACATAATCTGGTATCATCCATAATGCTGGGGGCAGAAGGGAGGGAAGGAGCAGGCCCAATGAGTCAACCTGAGAGGGATCCTATGCAGGGGCATGAGCTGACCTGCAGGGCAGTGAACAACCCACAGCTATGGTTCTTGTGCAATGCCTTCCTGTCCTTTCCCTTCCAGGTGCATTGTACTGGAATGCAAAGCCTTCCCTCAAACTCCTTCTCCAGGTCAAGTCCACCAATCTATCAGCTGACATCCTAAGGGTGTCTAAATCGCCACAAGAATGAAACACCATGAAGAATATTTTCATCTTCAAAGTCAATCTTTTAAGAAAAGAGCTGCCCACAAATGTTGACTTTCCACACTTGCTTTAGAAGCTATTTGCCTCCCTTTGTTCAGCAGAAATTCTCTAGGAAAGAGTAACAAAGAAGATAAAAAAAAAACCCAAAAAACACAGAGCTTGTTTTTTCTCTCCTATTCTTATTATCATTAGTATCAAGAAAGTCTCTTTGACGGAGAAGCCCCGGAGACTGTGGAACAACATGGGATGCCTCTCTCATCCACAGCCAGATTAACCCTTCATCTTCAAATTACTAATGTAATGAAGTTTTAATAAGGGTCAAAACTATGGAATGCTTAGAATTTAGAAAAGAATGGTGTCCTCCATCACTGAGAGGATGACTTAGGGTCAGGGCCCTGAAGCCCAGGGGCTGCGCCGACTCCAATTTAGCCCATCAGCAAATGCCCAGGACAAAGACTGCATTCGGGGAAAGACACTGAGGTCCCAGCCGCCCATACAAACAATGGCCTTACTGTGGAGCAGGTAACATAGGAGGGAGCCAAGAGAGGGAGAGACACTCAGCTAGTCACAGAAAGGGCCAATTTGACTGTCATCTGACCACCAGGGTCCCTTATCACCACCCCACAAGACAGGGGAAAGATGAGAAACACCTGGGGGCGCCTTCGCTGGACGACCCATCACGTGATCAGAAGTAATACTGAGTAGCGAACAGAAGGTGAATTTTTCTAAGATGAGTTTTTGTTTTGTTTTGTTTACTTACTCTATAGAATAAGAGTGGGGGTGGAGCAATCATCTTTCTTATGTAAAAACCTCGACCACAAACGTTATTTTCAAAAATCTAGTTGCTTGTGGGACCCCAAAATAAAAACATTCTCAGGGGAAATTCACCCCGGACAAGAAAAACCACCTGAGAAATTAAATTCTGTCTACCCGGGATAATAAAAAATAAACATGCAGACAGCCCTCAAGACATGCTGTCCAGTCAGGCGTATCAGAACAATCACTTGTAAGGTTCTGGAGAAAAAGGAAGCGTAAAACCACAGAGCAGAACTACCCAGAGGCACCAACTGTCACAGAGAAGCTCCCCAGAAACGGCAAATTCTGACACATGATGGAAAATCGCTGGGCACAGGGGAACTAGACGCTGGTGAGAAATGAACATGTCTGCACAAGAATCCAGAAGACACAAGGTGGAGCCGAGAGCTTGGCTCTGCTCGGCTTAGCACCGCTGGGCCCCTGGGAATGGCCTGCTGGCGGCTCGGGCGCAGGGGCAGTACCGCCCCACTGGAAGGTGAACTCCTCACCATTCTTTCCAAGGCGCTGGGGATCTGTGCGGCCTTGTCCAGAAGCTCGCTGTACTCCAGCTCCTCACAGAGCCGCTGCAGTGTGTTCAGGGGCTCATTCAGCTCCACCGGCATGGCCACTTTGGACAGATCCTTCCCGATGTTATTCCGCAGGATGTTCCACAAGCTGATGGTACTGGCACTGGGGCACGGGGCCGGCAAGCAAGTTCTTCGTTTGGACTTGGCTTCCCCACCACTTTCGAGGACAGGCCCTGAAAGGGAAATCAGCCTCGTGGTTTCCAGAAGACTTTTTATTACTTAAAAAAATACAGAAATAAAACCTGACCCAGCAAGTACTCGATTTTACTGTTAGTCTCAGTCATCTAGGACTGAAAGTCAGAAAATAAAGAGTTCCGTGCAGCCCAATTGAGCACCCAAAATTACACGTGCTAAAACTCGTGGACTTTATTCACAGGGAGGTCTTCAAGTTCCTACTCAGAAGCTAGTGCCTCATAGCTTAAATACACTTAGGATAAAGCTGGAAACTGGATTTCTATGCTTGTAGCAATTACTATTTATACCTTTAAACTCTTTAGATTTTTATTTATTTTTAAAAATTTTTTTTGATCAGGCTCCATGCCCAGCGTGGAGCCCAACGTGGGTATCTAATTCCTGACCCAGAGATCAAGACCTGAGCGGAAATCAAGAGTCAGACACTTAACAGTCTGAGCCACCCAGACGCCCCTAAACTCTTTAGATTTTTTAAAAAGCACTTCAAGCTCTGATTAAAAACTTTTTTTTAAAGACCATCTTTTTTTTTTTAAGATTCTATTTACTTATCTGACAGAGAGAGAAAGGGAGCAAGCACACAAGCAGGGGGAGCAACAGAGGGAGAAGTAGCTCCCTGCTGAGCAGGGAGCCCAAAGCACGAGTTGATCCCAGGACACTGGGATCATGACCTGAGGAGAAGGCAGTCACTTAACCAACTGGGCCACCTAGGCACCCCTGATTAAAAACTTTTAAACCCTTTTTAAAAATCACTTCAAATTCTGATAAAAACAATTATGTTTCTTACAGAAAAATGGAAAGGGAAATAAAAGTCTTCCATTATCCCACTACCCACAAATAGTAGCTGTTTGTATTCTTGAGTATTTTCATGTAGTATTTTCTCCATCCACAGAGCTCATATAGCTCACCTAGTTTTATGTTCTGCTTATTCCCTTCACTATTTTTCCATGCTATTCAATATTCTTCTAAAACATTATTTATAATGACTGTAAAAAAATTCCATGCTATAGATATGCTGTAATCTACTAAATCATTCCTCTATTGTTGGACTTTTAGATTTGTTTCTATGTTTTGCTATGATGCAAAAAAAAAGTACTGAATATTTAAATTCTTAAGATTTGATTATATCTCTGAGTATTTGCTTAGGATATACAGACATGGAATTACTATGTCAAAGACTATAAACATTTTTAGACATTTGAGTCATATGATCAGATGGCTCCTCAAAAAAGCTATATCAATTTCCTATTTATCAGCAGCATATGTGTGTTGAGATCTCTTGAGATCTTTCTGGGCTTATCATCATTCGTTTTCAATTTTTGGCAAATTGTTGGGTGGACAGTATTATTTCCTTGTTTTAACTTCCATTAAAAAAATTCCTAGGGGCACCTGGGTGGCTCAGTTGTTAGGCATCTGCCTTTGGCTCAGGTCATGATCCCAGGGTCCTGGGATCGAGCCCCACATCGGGCTCCCTGCTCAGTGAGGAGCCTGCTTCTCCCTCTCTCACTCCCCCTGCTTGTGTTCCCTCTCTCACTGTATCTCCCTCTGTCAAATAAATAAATAAAACCTTTAATAAAAAAATTCCTAGTGTGATTTGGAACGCTTTCATAAACACTTCTTTTCTGAATTGTCTGCTTTCCTATTTATATACTAAGATGTATTTTTGGTTTTTGTTTTCATATTCATTTTACAATCAAATCCCTATTTGGCATTTATCTTCAAAGTTGGTCCATGTGGTTCATTGATGAATAAAACACTTACATCCACCAGTCTTTTCCTTTGTGACACTTCCATTGGCTCAGGCTCTGACATTCTTTTCCCATCCCAATTGAGCCTATTTTCAAATGAAATCTCACCAACATATGAGAAAGGGGCATTTTATTTGCATATATTTATCTATTAAAAAGAAATATTTAACATTTACTCATTGTAAAGCCAATCGCTCTGAATAAAGAGGCTGTTTTAATAAAAAGAAAAGTATGAAACTGGGGTCACATTTGCAGTCTTAACGTTAACCCAAGCATCCAACTAATTGTTGAATTTATTTTAATTGCTTGACATGAGCAAAAATCTGATTTACCCAACCTAAGAGCTGCAAATGAAAGTAGTTTTTAAAAACAGTTCTCTATGTAATCTCAAAATATTTTCTCTGATTACACTAATCTAGATTTTGAAACAACAGTATATGATGACTACTATCAATCAATGACCAATATCTATCTAGTTTTTGCTCTGGAGCAGCAGGTCTTCAAGAATTTTACATATTACCTTATATATTCTTACATATACTTTACATATATCATCTCTTAAGTAACTTGCCCTAGAACACAGTACCAGTAAATGGCAGAGCTGAGGTTAACCAAGGAAACCTGGTCATGAATCTATATTCCTAAGCCCTGAACCTCCCATAGCACCCATTACAGTGACAGATCCTAGTATTTGCCTCCTGATTTGGGGAGGAAAAAATCAATAGGAAGCACTCTAAATATCTAGCCTTTATTATGGGCTCAGAAAAATTCTCATATCATTAATTATCAAGAACTTGATTTAATCCCTATTTCCTTTTGTAGGCAAAAGCGTGTCATAACGTGCAAACGTTATTTCTACATCCAATCGTTTCAGTAGAGTACTGAGGTTTAGAAGTCTCATCTTCAACGGAGACAAACTGGAGGACACCTATTTTTACTTCTAAATACTGCTGAAAAAGAAAGCTGGGTTTGGCCCAGTGTTTGTTCAAGCCAAGACAATGTGTTGGTCAGCATTCGAGCAAAACGGCTGTGGAATAAGAGAGAGAACCAGCCTTAGCGTCAATGTTTTTCCTGGCTGATGTCAACTCAGCACAGCTCTGGTCTTAGGTTCTGGGGCAAGTCCTCTGTTTCCAGCTATGACCTCCGAACACTCTTTCCCTGCATTCCCCTTGGCCCCTCGCTAAGGCCTCAAAGAGAATGAGGACCTCAGCGTTTGTCTGAGTTCCTCATGCATGGCCAGAGTGCCATTTTAGTGTGTGTGCTGTTTGTCAAGGGGATGTGATGTTTCTTCATTTCTCTTTCAATTCACCTCCTTGTTTTTCTAGAAAAACAAGTAGCTCCTATATTATTGGCTTTCTCCTCTGAACCATTGGTTTGCAGACTTTTTCACCAAAGGGTTCCTCTCTCCAGAAACATTTCAAGCAAGATAGAATGTAACGAGCATCAGACTTTTAGCGGGTCTGATGCTGAAAGGATGTTCTGCCAGAGAATGGTAAAATTACCTGCCTTTTTTGTGGTCCCCAGAGAGTGGGCTCTTTGGCATTCAGATAACAACTCATATTTCACACATACTTACTAACCTGGGAAGCACCAAAATAGAAAAAGCACTGACATGGTCCCTCTCCTCTGGGTAGATATGAAAATAGGTAGTGCCCTGGGTAGCCAATAGGTGACACAGACAAACCTCAAGACCCAAGACGTACTGAGTACCAGGACTGGGAATATTTGATGGTACAGGACTTGGGGGTATTTGATGGTATAGAATCCATGCAGAGAACTGTCCTATGGGCTAATTCTTCCTAAACAGACTTCCTAAATCAGGGCTGTTTGGGGAGACACTCCGGACACCCCACGGTTCAAACTAACATTTCCTGGGCATCATTTTTCTCTTGGGATCAACCAGTAATAAAGACTTGAAACCCCATCCTCCCTTCTAGGAGGTAGCAGTTACTTTTTTTTTTGGTTACTTTTAAATGTGTTATCTTGAAGAATCTAAGGCTAAATTACCACTTAGAGGGGCACCTGGGTGGCTCAGCCAGTTAAGCATCTGCCTTCAGCTCAGGTCATGATCCTGGAGTCCTGGGATCGAGCCCCACAGTGGGGAGCCTGCTTCTCCCTCTGCCCTTCACTCTGCTTGTGCTCTCTGTCTCTTTCTCTCTCTCTTGCTCTCTCTCAAATAAATAAATAAAATCTTAAAAAAAAAAAATCTTTAAAATCTTAAAAAAATAAAAATAACCAGTTATACCAGACTTTTTTATTACATGATCCCTATAAAATTCCTAAATCATGAAAACTACTAGGTACCTAAAGTCAAAAACCTATGTTGTAATATGTTTGCAGAGAGAATATTTGACCATATCAGGGGTCTCTGTTGGATTAATTTTTGATATCTATATGATAATTAGTATACATTCACTTTATAAAACAGAAGTTTTCATGAGCAGACAAATTTATTTGAATGAATACATTTTTCACACGTGAGTGCTGTCTCCCCCCTAGATTATATAAACCTCAAGGGTAGGGACCATGTCTTCTCTTATATAGTATGTGTTACAGTTCAATGCCTGCAGCAGATACTCTATATATGCTTGTTAGTATTCTGTGAAGGTGCAAGCTTTCAGATATCATATAATTTACATCTTACCCAAGGTCTGTCTCTCATTATCTAAGTCATTACTGAGATTGTCTAAGGAAAGGTTATCACTTATGTCACTGACATAGGAGTCATCTTCAGAAATCTATGGGGAAAAAAACATACATTAGAGTAAGAGTAAACAAACCAGATTTTCATCAAACCTTTAATCCAAATCATCAAACGTCTTGAATCCCACCATTACAAACCTACAGAAATAGGTTTTCATAAAGGCCCATACCCTAGTCTGCCTAGAAGGTGTTCATGATAAACACCTGTTATTAAAATTTTTATACTTTCTTGACTAGTTATCCCAAAGAAAACATAAATAAACTCAAGACTATAGTTATTACAGAAATTCTTATTAATTCAGACTGCATTTTTAGAATTTGTTAGTGTTTGCACAGAATGAGTTATAATTTGTCTTTTAACCATTTGTGAAAGAAAAGAATCTACTATGGAAATTAAATAAGATTAGTACTTCTATACTAAAGGGGTAAAATTATCAATTCGCATTTTCACAAAGCAATGCCAACTATGATACTTGCTTATTCAGGAAAGTACGATGTTTATGCATCAATATAAAACAGTATTATTATATATTATAAATGAATTATTATAATAGCTGTATTATAAGAATTATAATAATATAATAATGGCATGTTATAAATTAATATTGGTAAATTCACTGATTAAAAAAAACAAGATGCTATTTTCTGGCCCTGTGGTAGAAATGGTTAGTTAATAGTTAAAATGATTAACAAGTAATTGAAAAGAGGTACAACAAATCAAGTAACAGAAATGAGGAAGTACCCAACACCTTCTACTTCTGCAACCTTTTCCCTAAGGTCTTGTATCTTTTTGTGTTTTTTGGGGTAGGAGTTACAAGAAGATCCTCAGAATGTAATGGTAGAAAGAGGCCATTGAGTTAAGCATTTCTAAAGATAGGTATTTACTGAACAAGTAAAGCAACAAAAGAGATTTTGAGGCACCTAACTGAAAACAGTGCTCAAACCTCATTTTCTGAAGAGCTTGGAGATAACAGAACTTCCTGTGCATCAAAAAACTCCGAAAGGGAGTCTGTGATGGAGAGTCTACTCTCGTTGGAAAGCTGATGGACCAGAGCTCGGCTGTCATCTCTGGAGTTTTCCTATTTGAAACACAAACACAAAATTGCATATAATTAGAAACAGTCTCAAGAGAAGCAAAATAAACAACTGATTTCATTGCATGATACACAAGGTCACAGGTGCATGCAAACAAGCAGCTCAAAGCAGAGGTCAGCTCCCAAGTTGAGGAGAAGCAACCTCACACAAAACAAAATGAAAAACAAAGGTCTCCCCCAAATGGGCGCCTCACTTCATAGGTACCATCACTGTTTAGGTACATGCAACAAATCTCAAAGCCAAAACAGACTGTCCAGGTCAGTCTTCGTTTCCATTTAAGAGGGGGAAAATTCCAACACTCTCTGAATCATATCCTCTTATTCTCTACCACTGCAGGATGTTTCTTTTCATCCTAAAATTTCTTCAGAATTGTACTCAGTATATGTCCTTGCATGGCTGATTGAGAGCAACATTGCTTCCTCTGCCCCCACACTCTCCCAGAGGCCAACATGCCGCTTTTGAGGCATCCCTTGACAAATACAGTGTTTTGGCCCAAAAGTGCCCCTGGTGGCAGATTATTCATTATTCATGGATGAATGAGATAAATTCTCTTTGTCAGTCTCTCTCTAACCACAGTGACTCTGAGAGGGAAGGAAACTCCCAATCCTCTTTGTAAGCCTCCTTACAAACATCACCGTGGCATATCATGATTTTCTCATCTTGCATGGCCCTCCCTTCCCTACTTTGCTGAGTCTAAACTTCCCCTCTGGGAAAGACCGAAATACTTTGTTTGGGAATGTGCTTTCTATTCAATTTGCAAGTGCAAACTCAATACAACTCAACAAATTGAACAACTGCTCTATGCTGGCTCTGGGGAGATATAAGGATGAATAAGACAAGGTTTCTGGCCTGAATGAGTGGCACAGAGAATGCACCCAACACAGGAGACCAAGACTGTGGAAGAGAAAGTACTACAGAAGGGAAGAGGAAGGTGAGATTGATTCTATTTCAGGCTTTGGTTTAGGGAGGGCTTCACAGAAGAGGTGACACCCGACTAGACCTTGAGGAATGAGAACAAATTCAGGACAAGATGATTCGATTCCTTCAAATGAGAGAAGACTGTTGCCCTGAACTTCCCTACAGCTCACGTTTCTCACGGGGCTGATAAGGGAACTGCTTTTGTGTCATTGTGTATCTGATAAATGAGTCCCAGAATAATTTGGGAAACAAAAGTAAAAGCGGGTTATGTCTTTTCGAGAAGCTTTTTCATGAGTTCAGAATACACTCTTCAGTCTCATAAACAACTTATATCCGAGATGGGGATGCGATAACAGGATGACCACAGCAGATTTTCAGAGTGGTCCCTTTATGAAATGTTTACTTCTGGAACACATTTAAATGACCATCCCTTCTTCCTGGATTTTTCCTAAATAAGATACCTGGTCATTCAAAGGTCTTACCCATTTTAATATCCATATAGCCTTGTGAAAAGCATGCTTCTTGTCTGCCCTGACAAAGAGACCACTTTAGGATGTACAAACAAGTACCACAGTTGTCACCTTCAAGAGGAAGACCAGTCTCCTCAAAAGAGGATACATCATAGGGAGTAACTGAGCTCCTTCAATGCTCACCAAAAACCACAGAATCTTCCTGGGTCTTAGTGTGCCACGGCCATATAAGACTCTAATGATTTATTTACTTGTTATATTCATTAATTCATTACTAGTCATTCTTGCTCTCTATCTTCCTCCTTCTAGACTGGTGGATCAGGATTGGCCGATAAACAGGGAAAATTATACACCTAGCCGGAGCCCCTTCTGGTGTTCCACCCCTCCAGACACTTCCTATCAATACCCACTGAAAACTCAATGGGACTGCAGCAGCCCCAAGCCCCAGCATACTACCTTACACACACAGGACTGCACTTGTTAAATATCAACTTGGTCAGTTCAGTTCAACAATTTCCGCACAAGTTTAGAAGGCCTGAATAGTTGTTTATCTTTTTACATTGAAAAAAGATAAACAGAGAAAAGGGAAGGAGAGGAACACTCATAATCCTATCACACTAAAATCACTATAAGCATTTTGATACATTTCTCTCCCATCCTTTTTATACATATGGTCTTGCTCTGCTTTAAAATAATTATATGTACTCATATATATACATATACATATATATGTGTGTGTGTATATATGTACTTTCCCCAAACACTGTACCACAATCATTTTTTTAAAAAATTAACATGTATCCTGAGGATAAAAGTAGTATGTGTTCAAAATAGACAATACAGAAAAATGTAAATAAAATACACATTATTTAAAGCTTCATCACCCAGATGTGGCCCCTATTAACCTGTTGGTATATTTTTTAATATTAAAATATTTGTGTGTGTGTGTATACATATATATATGTATATGGTATGTATGTATATGGGTATAGGTTATATATAGATACATAGACTTAAGTTTGAAATACTGGGATCACACTGTACATAGTCTTTATATAGTGTGATATATTCATTTAACATTATATTGTGAACTTTTCCCCGGGCTGTTAAGTTTTCCGAGACATTAACTTTAGTTGACAGATAATACTTTATTATAAATGGGTGTTACAGAGTAACCCTTTTATGTATTGGAAATTAAGAGTGTTTCCAAATTTGTAAAGATGGTGAACATGTTTGCAAATGTCTTTTGTAAATAATGAGATGTTATCATTATTTTTTAGAATCAGTTCCCAGAAGAATTATTAAAAATGTTTATAGTAATATATATATTACCTAATTATATTAACAAATAAGAGAACCTCTGTTTTCGTTATATCTTTAAGGGCATTAAATACTATAATTTAGAAAAATTTTGTAAATCTAATTGTTTTAATTTGCATTTCTTTGTTAAGAATTAGGTCAACAGTTTTTTCTTTTTAAAAAACTAGCTGTAGAGATGTTAACGTTGGGGGAGACTAGGTCAGGGTGCATGGGAACTCTCTGCATTTCTTTGCACCTTCTTGTGAATTTTTAAGTATTACAATGTCCAAAAAAAAAAAAATGTGTATTTGGGTTTTTCTGGTGAATTGGGTCCCTTTTCTCATTCATTTGTTGAGATCTTCAGTTGTTTGTTACTACCTATTAATTACTTGCATATTAAAGACATTATCACCTATTTCGCATTATCTATCATTTTCATTGAAAGTATTTTTCCTCGTTTATTATTTGTGTTTTGTCACACACACCATCTTTTTCCTAAAAAATCCCGTCAGATCTAGTCAACATTTCTTTTGTAATTTTTCTATTGTTTCCGAGTTTAGGAAGTCCTCCCTACTCTGGCCATTTGATAAATACTTAAATCAATCTATGTCAATTTTAGTTTTTATATTTAACTCTAATTCACTAGCGATTCATTTTAGTGTGCAATGGAAAGATTTAAACTGCTTTCCAAATTGCTTTTGAGCTGTGCCAACCGAATTTATTGAAAAATCCATCTCTTCCCCATTGGTTTTTGAGTCTCTTCTATCATATATTTGTCTCTTTCATACGAAATGGTGTTTATGCCTGAGATAGTGATTCGGTCCATTCTCACACCATCCCCAGCATATTTTCACTACTGGAGTTTCACTCTGTCGTATTTTCTGGCCTGGCACATTCCTCAATATATAGCAATGATGCTATTGAGAAAACACTTCCGACTCGCCAGATGTGGACTGAAATCCCAGCTAGGATTCTTACTAGCTGGGTGCCCTGGGGGAAGCTAGTTAACCTCTCTGGTTTCCTTGTCTCTAAAATGAAACTACCATCACCTACCTCAAAGAACTGTGGCTAGGATTTTGTGAGTTAATGCACTCAACAGCATATGGAATATAGCAACCAGAGAGGCAATTAAAAAAGTTCCATTCTTCTCTTTCAGACATTGCTTTAGAAGTTCTTGCCTCATCAGTCTCTTTTTTTAATGTTTTATTTATTTATTCATGAGAGTCAGAGAGAGAGAGAGAGAGAGAGAGAGAGAGGCAGAGGCAGAGGCAGAGGGAGAAGCAGGCTCCCCGCCTAGCAGGGAGCCCGATGCGGAACTCGATCCCAGGACCCCGGGATCATGACCTGAGCTGAAGGCAGACGCTTAACCATCGGAGCCACGGAGGCGCCCCACCTTATCAGTCTCTTAAGTGGACCGTAGGTTTAGTAGAATGTTGTCACCCAAGGTCACTCAGTCTTTCATTCGGAACCTAAAATAATATAAGAACTAATAAGCTGATAATATTAAATGTTCGCATTCAGAAACACAAAGCAGGAGAACTTAATAGAATGTGAGAGTGATTTCTGACAGGAGAGGGGGGACTTTAGAATCTAGGAGCCAGGCTCGATGCCAAAGATGGGTAATCTGCACAACCCAGGGGTTAGGGACGAAACAGAAACCCAGAGAACAGAGCGCCCTGGGCTGACCCCACTGTGGGGACTGTCATTCCCTGACAGAATGCCTGGGGTGTCACCTAAGAAAAATAAATGGGAATTTTTAGGCTCTGGGGCGGCCACTTCCACTCACTCTCTGGTTTCCTGAAGACAAGAATGGCTTTTCCCTTTCTGGGAAAGGGGGCCTGAGTCACTCAGTGAAAAGCAGGGTAAGACAAGGAGAACAGAAAATCACTGAAAGAGGAAACAGCAAGGAGAACACTCCATCAGCAGGACTCCAGAAGGTTGTTTTGGAAAGTGTGAATGTGTGGGATACTACTGCTCCTCCTCAAGGACATTTGAGCCTGCAGGCACATTCCTTGTGAGATCGGTTTAAAAACATGCATTGTAGGGCGCCTGGGGGGCTCAGTCAGTTAAGCGACTGCCTTCAGCTCAGGTCATGATCCAGGAGTCCCAGGATCGAGCCCCGCATCGGGCTCCCTGCTCAGCGGGGAGGCTGCTTCTCCCGCTCCCACTGCCTGCCACTCTGCCTACTTGTGATCTCTCTGTGTCAAATAAATAAATAAAATCTTTAAAAAAAAAAATAAAAGCATACATTGTAAACACTTGTGATTCTGGTTTCCTTTCCAAAATGCAAATAGTCCCAAGTACGCTCACTAAGCATCAATACACACAACCATAAATGAGGGGTCAGCTTGCTTAAATAGATAGATATAATCAGGTGGCAGTACTATTTAGAAGGTAAGCACAGCCTCACAAGAGACAAGAAACCCCACGGAACACCATGGCGTCTGGCAGCCAACAACACTGAGTGATGGCGCGGAGTGACTGCGCCCTGCTCCAGCAACCTCGCACACTTCCTTGCCCGGGCCTAAAATGAAGGTCACCCCGGTAATGTTCAGGTGCTCAGCTTTAAAGATGATTCAGTTTAGGTCTGGGCTAAAATGACTGAAAAGATCTCTTGGTGGGGAGTGGGTGTGTGGAGAAATGTCACGCTCAACTTCTGACATGTCTCAGAAGTAACAGCAGCCCGGGAGCCTCTGCAGAGACAGTGCAGGTTCCCGCCTCAGAGAACAGGGTCCCCTTGGCGGGTGGCCGAGCCCGTGGTCCCTGTGGCTGCAGATGCCCAGGCCTCGCCCCGGGTGCTGACCGATTTCAGCTGCTAGCCTCCTCTTTGCCTGAACACGCGGCTTCCCACGGAGTGAAGTATTGTGGGGGGGTTTGTTTTCTTTGGGGACAGGAAAAGGAGGAAGAGGGATTCAGCTTCGACATTAGAAACTCCTTTTAAAAATTCACACATACACGCACACACACACGCCTTGTATAGTGCCTTCCTTCTTTTTATTTTAAATGCTCTCAGTCTAATAAGTTTTTTTCATTAACGAACTTATTAGACTGAGAGCATTTAAAAAAATGCTGAGGCATATGAATTATCTCATATCTCATAGATATGAGAGCATTTAAATAAATATCTGAGGCATATGATAGCTAAAAACAGGTTTTAAGCCTTATTATTCTTTATTATTCTTTTCTACTTATTTTCTGAATAATCCACTTGTATCTTTTCTGCAGTTTCTCTTAAACACACGCAAGGAACATTTTGTATAAACATCCTGAGTTTTGAGAAAAGACATTTTAACATACTATTAGTTGACCAAGACACTTCAATTGTAATACGGTATTTTTTCCTTCACAGGGTACAGCTGTGCTTTTTAAAAGAGAAAAAAAAAAAATCGCAGGAGAAGAAGGTACCAGTCACAGAGAAAGGGGGAAGGGGATGTCACAGAGGGGGCAACTTGGGACACCACAGGCAGGGAAAATGAGGCCTCTTCAGAAGTAACAGGAGAAAATGCTTGTCTTTCTGCCTTCCCACTCTAGTAATAACTAGCAAAAAGGTGATACTCAGGAGGAAAGGGGGTAAAGAAATACAAAGGGAAGACGACCTCTGAGAGCGGGAGCAGTTTACCAATGCAGTTAGCACATACTCAGGAAAGCTTTGGGGGGCTGGCAGGCAGCTCAGACCCTGCAGCAGCCGGGGGGGGGGGGGGGGGGGGGGGGGCGGGGCGGGCAGACTGTGAGCACCACTCCCCACTCCCGAGGGGGAAACAGGAGCAGAGGGACTGGACAGAGGGTGTCAGGTGAGGGGGTGGCGGTCATGGAAACATTCCCAGACGAGAAGCCTTACCCACCTCTGCCAGACCGTCACCCGACTTGGCAGCAGCGGGGGAATCGAGGAGCAGAGACTCAGCATGGATTCTGCGTAAACGTTCTTTAAGGTCTGTGTTTTGTGCTAGGGCCTGGAACATGTTAAAAATAGTGGGGCTCTGTTAATAAATGGATGTATCAGAAAAGCACAGCAGTGGGCCCAGGGGGACGGAGCCCTGAGGAGGGCACTTCCTGGACTTTTTTCTTGAATGTTATCCGACAGGATAAGGTTCTGAGATGCCATGGAGATCAAAGACACCAAAGTTTGGAAGTGATGTCCCTTCTCTGGTCTCACTTCTGGGGATGGAAGAATGGGCTGGCGAGGCTTTCCTTTCAGTGGAGAAGGAAATCACCAACACCTTCCGCTCTTACTAGGCTAGTGGTTTCATGGCCCTCTCTCCCCAGCTCCCTCCCTATGATCCCATGCTTCTCTCATCTTTAAAGAGGATGTTTCTCCCACCCCTTATGATCGGACATCTTTTAATGTTATTTAATTTTCATACCAGTTGAACTGGATCCTAGGAAGTGTGCCTGGAATTAGGATTTTGTGGAGGATTAATTTTATTATTTCCCAATATAGGTGATGATTGTTTTATTCATTCTTCATGACTAAGACATTTAATTGAAAACAACAACGACATACTTTCACTTACCTGGATAAAGGCTAAGGACTAGGGCCCTGGGAATGCTGGGAGGGAACTAGACACGTGTAAACCCATCCCTGGGCAGGTCAGATTCCCTATCCCAACCTCCCAAATGGGAAGGAACTAGCTTGAAGGTAGAGGAAGATGTCTCCAAACGATCTGTCTTTGGAAAAGGACAAGTGTGCCTGACTGTCCCCACCAGACACTCCCACAGTCAGCTCTCCAGGTGCTTGCACACAGATCTGTCCTGTCTGTCTTTCAGGCTCTCTTCCAAGAAGCTCAGAGCCTTTCCCATCCATTAGTGCCCACAGGGTCTACCTGCTGAGATCATAGAAGGATGTGGCACTGTCTGATCTACTGCCTGGATCTCAAACAGGATGTTGGTTTTATTTTTTAATACCCAGGAATGGAATGGGTTATTTGGAAATTCTTGAGGATCATTTAGGAAACACTGAGTAAATGTTCTTAATACACACAAGTACATGTAACAATCTCTATGGGGTACTCACTTTTTGCTGACCAACATTTTGCTGGCATCTTAGCGTCAGTGGCTAGAATCTATACCAGTGGCTAGACTCTTAGTATGGCCTGAAAAATGTGTTATTTTAGCAGCTTCTCTCTCCTCTGTAAGCCACAGGCAGAAGAAAGAAGAATGCCAAGACTGCATATACAGCACAAACATATGCATTCTGATAGCCCTGGGAGGACACTAAAAATGTTATTTTTAAAAAACAAGCCTTGAATCTAATCCAGAATCCAAGCCAAAAAGAGGAAAGAAAGGATCATTTTGTTATATCTTAAGTTTCCAAAATCCTGAACATGGGAGAGAGTAAATTCCTTAGAAGGGTAACAGCTCTGGCCTAGGATACCATGTCCTCTACCAGACAAGCCGACTAAGAAGATGAGGCCAGACCTCCCAAGGGAGGAGGGTGGGAGACTCCTGACCACTTTGAGAGGGGCCGGGGAAGCCCATCAGAGGTACCTTCTGAAGAGTCAACCTACTGGGAACAAAGAAATGCTCTGTAGCACTAAAAAATAAACTTAAAAACAAAACAAAACCACACCTCTCTTCTCTCAAACCCAAATAGCTCCCAGTGTGCAGCTGGCTGTCCACTGCAATCCAAAAGGGGTGTTTCTCTCTCTGACCTTAGAAAACCCAGAGCTCCTCAGGGTGAATGACATTAAGACCCTCTACATGGAGTAAGCCCACATTATTTCTTTCTTTCAAAGATAACATACTTGGAACGCCAACTGAGTAAATATTCCTAAGTATTCTTCAACAACAAATATGTACTACTGGTAATGTGTTTCCCATTACAGTCACACTGAAATCATTACTTTGCTTTTCTTAGTAACATGAGGAATCGAAAAGATGAATGGATATTTTCTAGATGAGCTCCTGAAAACAAGATCTTAAAATTCATCTCCCCAACCTAACCCTAAACAAAAAGTTCGGTATTGCTTCAGCTGGTAATTTCCCATGTGCGCACACTCTCTCTTTGCAATAGGGATTCGAAAGGACAAGCAAAGACTAGGGGCATAATGAAATAACATAATAAAATAAAAATAAAAGCAATATACAAATAAGTAAAATAAATACAAATGACATCATAAGTATGTTATTTTTAAAACCCACCAGCTTTTCGATAGATACAGAGTAAGCAACCAGACAACACCAGCCGTTCAAGGTAGAGTCCTAGGACACTGCGCCTGAATGGAGCCCAACTGGAATCACGGGGAAAACGTAGAGAGAGAGTGAATAACAGAAGGGCTGACTTGAGGCTGGACCCTGATGTTTCTGTTGTGATGAAAACACAATGATTATCTGACATTCCTTATGACTGACCTTTCTGTGCCCAGGCAGGAAAAGGCAGCTAAATATTTTATATTACCAAATCAAATCACTTCCAAATAACTTTGAAAGAGTGGTAAGCAGGAGCACTGCTGGGCAGCAGAGAAGATAAGAGTGAATTTAAAGTTGCCTTCTGCTACCTGTCACTTGCAAGTCAATCTAAGCTCGAGAAGTCTTCAGTACAGGAACCTCCAAACCTCGGATTTTGTAATGAGAAACAAATATCTGGAAGACCCACACAAACACACAATAAATGCTTTACACAAACAGAAAAATCAAGATAAATGGAAGGAAACCAAACTTAAAGTATCTAATACTCCATGAAATACGAGCTACTAAGATTGGAGGCAGGCTCAATTTTGCTGTTCAGAATTAGCAGATCTGATACAAGGTTAAAATAGAATTTGGATAATTTGTTGGGTTTTGTCATGAATCTTCAACACAACCATGGAGTCGGAAAATTTAAAAAAATTCATGAGCACGGCCAGGTGGTCAGGCATTTCTGCAACACAGACATGCAACTTACAGATGACAGGGCGTGTTTCAGGCCGATGACCTGGGCAGAGGGGGAGGAGGAGACATCCTGTTCCATCAGCTGCTTCAGCTTCTCTCTCTCTGTTGATATGGTATTAAAAGCTGACCTTAAAGTGAAGTAAACTAGAAAGATATAATCATTATAAAAAGGAGTAAAGGAAGAGGCATAATTAAACACAAGATACAGAGACACGTATTTCTTATAAAGGAATTTAGAAAAGTAACAGCCCTGAATAGTGAACTGAAGAGTACAGCAAATGGACACTCTAAATTGACTTCTAAAAAAACACATCTGGAAGGTACAACACCAAGAATGAACCCTAAATGATTAAACTATGGACTCTGGATGATAATGATGCTTTGTTGTAGGTTCACTGATTGTAACAAATGGACCACGCTGGTGGGATGTTGACAGTGGAGGAGGTTGTGTGTGTGTGGGTGGGGGAGGGTTATATGGAACTCTGTACTTTCTGCTCCATTTTTCTATAAACCTAAAACTACTCTGAAAAATAAAGTCTATAACAAAGTCTAACAGCATACACTTTTATCTTTTTCTTTTTTTTAAGATTTTATTTATTTATTTGACAGAGAGAGACACAGCGAGAGAGGGAACACAAGCAGGGGGAGTGGGAGAGGGAGCAGCAGGCTTCCCGCAGAGCAGGGAGCCCCGATGGGGGCTCGATCCCAGGACCCTGGGATCATGACCTGAGCCGAAGGCAGATGCTTAACAACTGAGCCACCCAGGCGCCCCCTAGCATACACATTTTTCAATTCTAAACGTCCTATCCACTATACAATTCTAGGAATTTATGACTTATCAAGATATTTTGACACTTGAAAAGATACTTCTAATTTCTCAATGATCAACATTTAGTTTTGTTTGTATCCCCAAAGACTGAAACTGCTTGAAAACAAAGCTCACTGGTTGCTGGGGAGTCATGAAACTCGAAACCAAGAAACTAGATAGCACCTTAACCAGGTGACCAAAATTCATCACCAGTGAGGCTCAGATGGACTTTGTGTGCCTCCGGGTGTAATATCCTGAAAAAGATACACCTTCGTTTGTGTTGTACACCAGCCAGGGATAGATCACTGCAAAGTGAGGAACATCTTCTATTTAAAAATTGACCTGTATCCTTTGAAAGCATCAATTTCATCAAAGAAAAAGAAAGGCTGAGGAACTGTTCCCAACTGCAAGAAACTGAAGAGATATGACAATTAAAACGTGATCATGGGCTCGATCCTGGACTGAAGGGGAAAAGTGCTATTGAAGGACATTATTGGAACCACTGACAACATCTGAACATGGAAAACAGGAGAGATGAAAGCCATGCTTCAATGTTAAACTTCTTGAATTTCATAACTACACTGTGGTTAAGTAACAGACTATCCCTATTCTTAGGAAATAGATACTACAGTATAAAGGCATAAAAAAAAAGACACGATGTATGATCCCTACTCTCACACGGTTCAGAAAAATAAACACATATGCGTGTGCACACAGATAGTGTATGTGGAGAAAGACGTAAGATATATGTGGCAAGATATTAAAAATGATGAATTTGGGTAAAGGATATATGGCAGTTCTTCGTATTATTCTTGCAACTTCTCTGTAAATTTGAAATTATTTTAGGGTGTTGCCTACACTCTTGTTAGTCTTGCAGCTGCTTGATCCAGAATCCCCAAGCGCTAAACTTGGCATTCGGCTACTCTGTTCACTTTAGTGAGCTCTGAGGTACATGAGAGCTTAGCATTGCTAGGCATTCAGATGCCAGAACTAAAGTTTTTAAAGCCCGCTAACACATACAGCAAAAAAATCATCAAATTTGGATCACATTTGTATGAGTTATCTCCTAGGAATGGGGAAATGCCATCTAACTTCCTGATCATGGATATCACGTTTGAACATTATCTTTCCAGTCTCCTTTATTACATTTTGTTTTAGAAAGGTAGGAAGAAGGAAGAGGCAGAGACATACTTCTTCTCGGATGGCCTGGCATATTACTGAATTCCACAAAGTCGCATTTTTGGAGGCAATGTCATTCAAGATTGGCCGATTTAGTATCACAGAAACGGAATACGCATTACTGACTCACTTCCCTCATTTCCACAGTCACAAGGACAACTGCACCTCGCCGTAAGTTGTTGCTGAACTTGTCTGAGGTCGTGGTGTTCCGTGATGGATTTAGACCATCTTCGTAAAGTCATCATACAAATAAGCAATTTGTTTAAACAACACACACACACATGCACAGTTTCCTTAGTTTATTAAGTACAATTCATTTCTTCCCTTCTGTCAACAGAAGTCGGGGTCAATAGGTACTAAAGGCAAATAGGTACTAAAATTTTTCTAACAATATCTACGGAACACACTTTGCTCTTTGATTTAAACAATTCCATCGAGCAAAATAAAGGTCAGCACAACAGAGTGACCAATAGTGTGGACTCCGAACCAGCCCTGGATTCTTCCCAGCTCTATCACTCAGTCATTGCATCACCCTGACAAACACATGCTGTACCTGAACTCCCCTTTCCTCCTTTGTAAATGGCAGTCATGATAGCGTTTACTTTATAAGATGGTGATGGGGATTAAAGACGATAATGCGGAGATAGCACTTAACCCCATGGATAGCATATAATAAATAGTAAGTGATGGTGATAAAAGCAACACACGAGGGTGAAAGTGGTGGGGACTTGAAATACGAGCACCAGTTTCAGAAGAGTCCTTTGGTCTCTTGCCAGAACAGCACTTGTCAATAACTGCATGCAGGGTACAGGGTCTATGAGTAACGGACTGACCAGAATCTGTTCAAAAGTGGAAGAACAGCCTCAGCTGGGGGGGCAACAAGCCCCACAATTAACATTTTACGTCCTATTAGATAGGCACCTCCCCCGCAAAACACACACTCAGTCAGATACCCATCTCAGTGGGTCCCGGGGGGAATACCTCTTCACTGCCATGGGTTTTTTGGGTGTGGTTTTTGTTTTGTTTTGTTTTGTTTTGTTTTTGTCTTTTGGTATAAGTTTCCTTAATTTGCTATTACAATTCATTTTTTTCTCTTTTTTAAATGGAGGTATAATTGACATTAACCTTATGTGAGTTTTGGTGTCTACCGTAATGATTTGGTATCTGTATCCACTGCAAAATGATCACCACAATAAGTCTAGTGAACATCTGTCACTTTACACTGTTACAAAAGAAAAAAAAATTTTTTTCACTGTTATGTTTATTGCTTTAGATTAAGTAAATGTGGTGCTCAGCTGGCTGCCATTTGACCAGATCAATTCCTCTGGCCTTCAGACAGCCTGCAGTAAAGCAAGGTCTTCAACCTGATGGGAAGAGTCCATTTAAAATTGGCAGAATATACATTCCTTGGTTCAAAATAGAGAACTGACATAAACTGTGGTGGGCATAAAATAAGCAGAAAGAAACTCATATAGTCACTATATTTAATTTTCATGTGTAAAGCGCTTCCTAAACCACCTGACAAAGGATTGCCATGCACTAAATTTCTTAAATGACTGGTGAGGCCCACTCATCAGAGGGCATTAAAATAGTCATTCACAGTGGCCTAGTGATCCAGCACACACAGAACGATTGTTAGGGGCTGCTCGTGGGAGACTATATTTATATTAACTGTTAAAGACACAGGATCCCACAGGTGAGGAATATTCTCTGTGACAGAATGTTTTCTTACTAATTTCTAACCTGATGCTAGGGAAAAAGAAAAAAACTTAAAAAAATAGAAAGATCCAAGTGAATGTATCACATCTATGGATATCTCAAAACAAATAAAACCACATAGAAAGTCTTCAATGCTCAGAGCTACAAAGAACTCCAAAGATCACCTAGCCACCCACCATGCAGAATGACCCAACTCCTCTCTACCTCTAAACTTCCTTGTCTGTGGTTTTTGGACCATGTTTCTCAGAGCATTTGCTGTCTCCTAAAGCAGTCCACTCTGCCCCTAGACTCTGCTGCAGGGAAGGAAGACCTCCTGTTCCCAAGTGGAAATTTCCCTCAGTGTCTCCTCACTGGCAAACAGAACTCACTCTCCGTTCATGCGGTGTTCAAATATGGAAAGGCAATCATGGCATCTCCGTTTACTCATCTTTCCCAGACTGTCCTTAGCCATTTCTCAGACCCTCCCACTGTACTAACACAGCGGGACGCAGGTTGAGTTCTGGCAGAATGGAACGCCATACGCCTCATACAACTGACTCTTGGACCACTACCTTTCCCGTTTCCACAGGCTTCTGTGGTATTCTTCTATTGAGTTGGATGGTGAGAGAACAGTTAGCACGTTTGGTGCTTAATCTACCCCAGCCCTACTGTTTAATGCGCTCCTTCTCTAGCAGTTTCTCGGCATCACAAAAGAGTAAGGTCTGGGGGAAGACAGTTATGAATACCATAGACATCACTTCTATAGAGGCAGTCTGGTAGAAGGGAAAGACATTTTGTAATAAGGCAAATGAGAACCAAAATCCTACTTCTACCACTTGGCTTTCATTTAGATTTTGGACAAATCCTCGGTTTCCACAACTGTATGTGTGGATAATGCCTGTATCTAGTGAGTGCTTTAAGGAAACAGTGAGAAAACATACTATCGTATAGTGCCCCAACCCACTGTAGGACTCATTATTTTTCTTTCCCTCTTTTTTTTTTTTTTTTAAGATTTTATTTGTCAGAGAGAGAGAGAGAGAGAGAGCACAAGCAGGGGAGCGGCAGGCAGAGGGAGAAGCAGGTTCCCCGCTGAGCAAGAAGCCCAAAGCGGGGCTCGATCCCAGGACCCTGGGATCATGACTTGAGCTGAAGACAGATGCTTAATCGACTGAGCCACCCAGGCATCCCTTTCTTTCTCTCTTTTTAATGAAAAGCATATTTTGGTGAATTTTCTTTGAAATGATAACATACCTAAAATATCTCAGGTGGCGTGATCTTCTGTAATCTGCTTCCTCTAATTTTCAAACCTCACAAGATATCCATGGTTTTAAAATACTTTCTGATACTCTATCCAAATGGTTCTTTCACTTAGATACATTAGGTAATTTGATTAAATGGTCCTACTTATTTCCAGATAATTTACATAAATGCAAGTGCTCAGCCTATTCTTACGCTGAATTCTAAATTATACTTGATAAATGATCTGGCTTTTCTTTAAATTCTGTATATCTTCTAGATTTAATCTATGAAAATGATGGCACCGTGACATGCTTGGCTTTTTATCCAATGCTTCCAGAAACTCAAAACAGTTCAGAAAATGATCCTTCAACAACTAAGACTCAACACTGGAAAAGAATCAAAAACAAAAGAATACTAAATAATGGAATACAGCTTAATTTTGTTCTACTTTTAATTTTTTCATTTGTAAATGAGGCTTTCCCTCTCTGAAAATACCTTTAGGAAAGTATCATTAAACCTAACTTTGTTTTCTTTCCAAAGTAGAACATAAATGCCCCGCTTCCAGAGGACCCTGGTCCTATATCCTAATCCTTGCTTTCCTAAACTACAACTGCTCACCATATTCAGTCATTTCTATGTCACCTAAGACTAGAACACTGTCTCATAAAACCTTCTTGTAAAAGTAAGCAACAGCATGAATTCTATTCAGAACAAAATAACCAATCATAGAAAATAGTTACAGAATTTGAGATCCAAAAGTCAGGAGGACTACTTTAGGACATTGAACAGATGAGGCAACTGAGGCCCAGAGAAGTTAACTGGTGAGATCAAAATTCCACAGCTAGTCATAACAGAGTGGCTTAGAATGAATGCCTATCTCCTGACTCAGATGGTATAGAGGGTTAGCTCCATAAAGGCTTATTATATACTGTGTTTCCTGCATTATGTTTCTCAAGAACTTTACTTCCTCGATGTCAACAGCTACTGGGGAAGTGAGGGAAAATTTTCCAAATACATTGAAAATCACTGACTTAAACAAAGCTAACAGACTCCTCTGCTGCAGGACTTCTCAGGGCCTTTAATATTTACTATTCTTGTGTAAGTTCAAAGGGGACCATAGTCAGCAGTGTTTTCCAAACATTTTTAACCATGGAATTCTTTTGTTTTTAAAAGCATCTTATGGGCAAAGTGTTCCGTGAAATATATTTGGAGAAATGTAAAAGTTAATATATGCAATGTAAATTCCTTAATGGCTTTTAAGTTTTAGTACATTTTGTTCTCTGCTTACTTATATGTGTGTCAACATATGCTCAAAGCCAGACACATGAACCAATGAAAATTATTTCAATGATATGCCATAAAAATCAAATTCCATTTATAATATGTAAGAAGGACTTTTTCACCTATGATGGGTATATATTGGTTGTCCACCCTTTGATCTAATCTTCTACAAAACAGAGAGCATTGAGATGCATTTAACAGATTAAAGAAAAAGCAGGTAACACAGACTATGTTACAACATCAGTGGAATTCCTACATTTAGTTCACCTGCCCTGGAATCACAGTCGATAGATTAGTCATACGGTCAAGAAAGTACCATACAAACTGTCCGTGACCAGGTCAGGCCCGCACGGGAAGAAAGGAAAGGTCAAGATGCTTTGAGTTTGACTGTATGGAAGTGAGAAAGCACGCAAGCTCGCAGGACTGAGGACAAACCTGGGAAGTGTCTCCATTCCACGAGGCCTCTGAGTCACAGCCTGTGGGAAAGGGACTCCCAGAGATCCTTCAGTCTTCGAGAGTGTACTTGAAATCCACAGCAGTGAAACACAGCCGGTTAGGCTCCCTGTGGAATTCAGGGCTCTAAGCCCACAGGGCAAAAGCTGTTGTTGTTGAATAAGTGCACCTGGACCTTTCTCGGAGCCCAAATCGAGACCTCGTCTAGGCATGTGGCAGTCTCTGCAGCCAGCTGGGTGTAACAAAGCCTGAAAGGCAAAACAGCGGGCCGCAGCCCATTTCGGACGGTCCAGAAGGCTGAGCCCTCTGCGGGAGGATAGTATCCATGGCCTGACTCCGCAAGGCAACCTCTCTCCCTCTACTGAGGGAGCAGCTTCTTCAGTGATAAAATTCAGGACAGCCCTGCTGTGGGGATGTGTTACCTTCTCATTCGTAAAAAGACAGTTCGTGGGTTTTTGTTTGTTTTTTTTTAAAGATCTATTTATTTATTTGAGCAAGAGAGAGCACGAGCGGGAGGGGCAGAGGGAGAGAGAATCTCCAGCAGACTCCGAGCCGAAACCAAGAGTCAGACGCTTAACTGATTGGGCCCAGGTGCCCCGACAGCTTGTGTTATTAAAAAGTTATGCTCTTTTTTAGGGATTTCTTCCCATAAAGCCTAAAATGCAATGCCCTGATTGCAACTGATCCTTTAATACTAGAGAACACACAAAGGCCTGCATGAAGAGCTTTGGGCGGGGCAGGTAATCCTTCCCCTCTTACAGACTCATCCTACAACAACATTGCAAACACTGACAAAGTTCTGACAGCAACTAGAACACGAGTTTGATCGAGGTGGGGATTTGTAAAGAACATGAAATGGTTTCCTTATAACCAACATGTTTTAAGTTTGTGGGGTGTAAGGGAAACGGGAGCTGAAAGAATCAACAATGTCATGGGAGAAAAACACGGGGCCAGGAGAATAAAGCAGCAGAGCCAGTATCTTCCTTCCTCTCACTTCAAGCATTGCCCTCCCATTTTAAAAAACAATTTTTAAGGACGGGAGCGGCAGAGAGAGAGGGAAAGTTTTAAGCAGGCTCCACGCCCAACTTGGAGCCCGACGCAGGGCTTGATCTCATGATCCCGAAATCATGACCTGAGCCGAAATCAGGAGTCTGCCACTTTACCGACTAAGCCACCCAGGCACCCCACTGCCCTCCCATTTAAAACTTTTAAACCCATTTGCCCCTTTAAAAAAATGATAAATATACCACATTTTTTAAAAAGACAAGCAGTAAGAAGATAATAAGCACTTACAACTCCAGTCTCCATCACTAAAATGCCGGTGTAGATCCTTCCAGACTTTTTAGTACACCTATATCTGCCAGATTTATATAGTTTATTTTTTTCTGAACAGACAGGATCATACCTATACATTGTTTTGAGACCTGTATTTTCACTCAATGGTATGTTGTGAACATCTTTCTGTGTCTAGAAAAGTAGCCCTGGCCACCCCTTCCGAAGGGCGGTGAGACACCAGACTGGGCCAGGCAGGCTGGGATTCAAGTCTCAGGTGGGCCACTTTCTACCACTTACTCAGAAAGCTCTTCAGCTTCTTGAAGCCTCAGCTTTCTTATCTGTGCAATGAAGATTACAATAATATCTGCTCCACACATTGCTGCTAGAATGAAATGGAACAGTGCAGATGAAGTGCTTAGTGAATACCTGACCTCATAGCTATGTGCTCCATATTTTTATTATTGTGCTGTTGATTATTCTATCACATAATTATATTGCATTAAAAATCCAATTTCCCTATTGTTGGGCATTTGGGTTATGTCCATTAAAAAAAAAAAACTTTCTATTTCGAAATCATTATAGATTCACAGGAAGTTGCAAAAACAGTACAAAGAAGACCTGGGTACCCTATAGCCAGTTTCCCACAGAGGTAACATTTTATAGAACTATGGTACAGTATCAAAACCAGGAAACTGACATTGGCCTAAGCTACAGCTCTCCTGCAGATGTCACCAGTTTTATGTGCTCTCATTTGTGTGTATGTGTGTAAATATATTTTATTTGCAATTTTATCACACGTGTAGATTCATGGAACCACCACCATAGTCAGGATACAGAACTTTCCATTACCATCAAGATCCCTCTTGCTACCGCTTCATAATCACACCCATATTTTTCCCCTTCCCCTAAGCCCTGGCAACCACTAATCTCTTCCCTATTTCTATCATTTTATCACTTCAAAAGTATTAATAAGTGGAATCATACACTACCCAACCTTTTGAAACTGGCTATTTTCACTCATAATGTCCTTGAGATCCACCCAAGCAGCTATGCATATGAGTATTTGTTCCTTATTTTATTGTTGAGCTGTACCCCATTGTAGGGATGTCCCATAGTTTGTTTAATTATGCACCTGTTGAAAGACATTTGGGTTGTTCCAATCTTTGGCTAATACAAATAAAGCTGCTCTGAACATGTATGTATAGGTTTCTGTGTAGACTTAAGTTCACATTTCTCTGGGATAAATGGCCAGGAATGTGAATGTTGAGTTCTGTGATAAGTGATGTTTAGTTTTATGTAAAGCTGCCAAACCACTGTCCAGAGTGGCTGTACCATCTTGCATTGCCACCAGCAACATATGAGGGACCTAGTTTCTCCATGTCCTCACCAGGACTTGTATCTTTGTGGAGCTATTATAGGGGTACAGTAATACCTCATCCTGGCTTTAACTTGCAGTTCCCTAATGGCTAATGATGTTGAACATCTATGTCTAGTTTTTGATATGATAAACAATGCTGCAAGAGATACCTTTATTTGGATAAATTTTAAATTAATTTCTATGAATGAATTCTTCAAAGTGGAATTGCTGGATAGGCAGATTTTCTTTTTTTTTTTAAACTCAAAACATAATGTCATTGCTCTCCAGAAAAGCACCAATCTATACCGCCACCAGCAGCATGTGAGTTAAAGAATTCCTAATGCTCTCACCATCTCCCCTAAGGGCTTAAAAAAGAAACTTGTCAATACCCTCCCTACTACCAGGGAAATAAAATAAAAATTAGATTGCCCCAAATCCTAATAGAGCAGAAAATGAACCAACTAAGATCCCCTCTCCAAGGGCATCCCACACCCAGACATGCATCTGACATTTTCATCAAACACATCAGGAAGAAAGAAAACTCATTTACCTTTATGGGCAATATGACACAGGTCTTCTTGCATTTTAGAAAACTCTGACGAGGTTTCAGAGCCATCAGAGTAATTTTTCTCTTCTCCAAAATCTAACGTTGACAAATTAGGATTGGAGGAATGCAGTCTTATTGGGCCAGAGAAAGGTTTAGGGACCTGAAGTGACACCAAAGGGAGACATTTCTTTTCAGATGCAAATTGCTTCGAATATTTACTTGTTACTAAGATTAGAAAGTTGTAGAAGAACATTTTATAGGTGAATCTTTCTACTGAGTGATAACTTAAAAGAAAATAAATGAAAACCCAGGAAAGCACTTTCTCCAGCAACTTGCTCTGGCTTCCTGCAAAATAAAAATGGGTGAGAAATCACATATTCTTTTGCAAATGATAGAAGCATTAAAGCTCTAGGTTGAAAATGACAGCTAAAGCTGCCAGGCTCTTTCTCATTTCTACTCAATCCCTTCCTCCTGGCAATAATCATCCAGTATCTAGGTTGTTAACAGTGGATGAGTTTTAAAATGTTTCCTTAATTTGCCTCTGGTGCTTCTACAAAGCTAACTTCTCACATGTTTGTACACAAATCACTCTTTACTTGGAAAGTACTTCCGTTCAACCCATAAAGTGCTTTGAACCAAAGAGTGTGCAAGAGTATAGCAGATGACTGATCCATTAAGTCTCTGATTTATTTGACCCTAACAATGTCCTAGTTTAATATGCAATGGCCGAGCTGCAAATCTTAGCCTCTGGCTTAGCTGTGCACCGGAGAAGTCAGTGGCTAGTGTAGCTCAGTGAAACTCGGACGGGGGCTTGGGGGGTTGAACACAAGAGGCAAAAGAGAGTCTGCACAATGTCCCATTTCCAGAGACTCCAGTGGGCTCAGAGGAATGATGAATCCACTGACTGGCAGCAGAAGAGGTGGGTCAGAGCACACACACAAGCAAGGAAGAGGGCAGGCGGGCTCAGCATTGAAGAAGGGGACACCAAAGTCCGAGAAACGGCTGCACTCCCTCCATCCTCATGCCATTTTCCCCTTACCCAATTCCATTACATGCTTACTGTAGTATCCAGAAAATCGAAGTGACTGAATTTCTCTCTGCACAGGGTATTTGCGAGAACGACTGTAGAAAATCCTATCGGGAGTCCCAGCAGCCCCCAGCATGCGGCACAGAGAGCAGGGGAAGCAATGGTTACCTGCAGCATTCCTTTAGCATCTTTGCCAATAGCTCTGGACCGCCACCTCCTGTGTGATCGTTTTTCCTTTTTGGGACTTTCAAAAGCTCCACCCTTCGTTTCAAAACAGGAAAGAGAGCACAGAAAGTAAGGCCCACCAGACCCAATTGGGGAAAACTGCACAGCAAAGTGACCACCTCCAACCCCTCGAATGTGGCTGAAGCAACCATGACCGGACAATGTCCCACTGTTAGTGCGAGGCTGGGGAGGAGAGAGGGAAGCAGAAAAACACCGGAGTGCAAACAGCAGAGGGATCTGGCTGACCTGGATGGCGTTGATTGCAGGTGCCGAATATGTCCGATGCAGGACATCCATACTTTGTAGGAGCTGGCTCATTTCCACCAGGTAGGCATGACAGTGTGCCAGGTCTGTGGGAGAAAAGCAAAAGGAAGATTCATAAGCCCTCATCTTGGCATCCAGTTTGCCCTAGGCTAGTGCCAGCTACTTTGTAAATTTATCTATACTACTTGATTTACATCTGTATGGAGACGAAATTTTACTTCCTTTTTTCAGAAGAGGAAGTACACTGTCATGGTGAAGGGCATGGATTTGGAGAACAAGACTGCCTCTGTTTGAACACTTCCTGAACTCTGAATCTTGGGCGAATTATATCACTTCTCTGTGCCTCAGTTTCCAAATCTGGGAAAGGGAGAGAATTATACACCTGCCTTCATAGGACAGTTGTGAGTTGACAGAGGCAGCATGCTTTTAGAGTGCTGGTACTCTGTCAGCAGTAAGTAAATCAGCTATCATCATTATCATCATTATTTCTAATACTGTAATAACAGGGTGTCATTCTCTGCTTACAAGGACTCCAGACAAGTAAATGAATGAAACAAAGCTGAAGGTTGTACTGGTCTCTAAGGATACCTGTCGTTCAGGGACCCACATGAGATCGTGATGATCATCTGCACATTGACCCGAGAGGACCTAAGAGTTCTCATACCAGTTCGTTGGTCGCTAACTCAGAAGATAGTCCTTAATTTGTTGTTCACTGGATGATGGTGGCTGTTTCCACTGAGAAAGCAAGACCCAAATGGCTCTCAAACTTTGACATCATCAGAATCAACTGGAGAACTTGTTAAACCACAGATCATTGAGATCCACCCACAGTTTCTGATTTGGTCTATCTGAGAAATTGTGTTTTAAATAAGTTTGCAGGCCACGACAATGCTGCTGGTCCAGAGATGGCACTTCGAGGACTAGCTGTGCCAAAATGTCACTCAGTGAAGCTCCCTCATGACATTTACTGGGAGGGCAAATCCTATATGGCCCCAGGTGTGATAGTATTTGCATTCAACAGGAGAAAATGTGCTTTTCAAGACCTGGCATCTTTCTCTCGTGGTTCTCAATCGTGGCTCTGCTTTAAAATCAACTGGGGAAATTCTTTAAATTTCGTATGTCCAAGTCCCATCTTGAGATAATTAAATCAGAACATCCCCAATCCCACTGGTGACTTGTTTTGTTTTTTAGTTCCCTGGGTGGTTCTTAGCTAATTAGAGTTGAGAACACTGAGCTTCTTTATGGAAGAGTTCTCAATCCTGACTCCTTACCAGAGTCATTTGGGAAACTGTAGAAAATTAGTGATGCCAGGGCCCAAGTGCAGACCAACTTAAAGAAATTCTTGTGGAGAGTGGGTATTCTTGCCTTTTATTTATTTATTTTTTTTTAAAGATTTTTTATTTATTTATTTGAGAGAGAGAGAATGAGAGATAGAGAGCATGAAAGGGAAGAGGGTCAGAGGGAGAAGCAGACTCCCCGCCGAGCAGGGAGCCCGATACGAGACTCGATCCCGGGACTCCAGGATCATGACCTGAGCCGAAGGCAGTCGCCCAACCAACTGAGCCACCCAGGCGCCCTATTCTTGCCTTTTAAATGCTCTTCTGGTGATTCTAGTGTGCAGATAGGGTAGAGAACTCCTATTTCGTGGGGAGCTCCATTTGGTTCACCCACTCACCGTGAGCAATGACTCCCGATCTTGGATGTACACCGGAGTCAGTTTTAGCACTTAAAAAAAAAACTCGAGAGCTGTGTAAAGCCCACCCATGGAGACTGCAAGTCCTCATGGAAATCAGACCTGGGTACTTAAAGAATATGAAAGGAAAACTGTCTGCATGCACACCCAGGTGAGGAAGTGAAGCTCTGCAGGGAGAGTGTATTTTGTTCATCACCATTGCAAACTCGGTAAGCAAACTCTGAGTGGAAATGTAGACCAGTGACGGGGAAATTCACCTGAGGTGTAAATACTCAACGAGTGCCATCTAAGAGCCATGACAGAAAGAAGCAGAGGTTTCAAGTCATTTTACCTTTTGAGCATTTCTCCATGTCCTCTGAAGATTGTAACCATAATGGAACTCGTGTCTCACCAGCACAAGAAAATGATAAATTGCTTCCAGTTTGAATCGAGTTCTGCTTTGATATACTGCTACGCTGTTCCACAGATGACAAAAGCACATTATAAATGAAAACAGAGCCCAGGGGGAACACGTTAGGGTAAAGGACAACAAAGTGAGCCAGTTGCTAATGGAAGCCATCTGCCTGTAATGGGGAAGAAGCTTCTACAAAGCACTCCACTAGAGACCCTAACCTCTGGCTGTCACCTCAGCCTGGCCATACCATGCTCTCATGCCTGGGGCTGCTGTTCTGAATTTCTTCTTCGGTCAAATGATAATCATACCAAAATCATGACAGAAATATTGGGAAATTTCGCAATCCTCTATGGCTATAAACATGAATACTGCATTTACAACCAGAAAAGAAAACCAAAGTCAAAATAGTCAAGGAAGGCTGCAGCATTCAGGGCCATTAAATTCCCCCGTATGGGCCGTTCATCAGTTACTGTCCCAGGGATAGCAGATGTTCCTCTGGCCCTGGTTCTGACCAGCTGGGCAAAGAGATTCCTCCCACGAGCCCTTCTTCCTTCACACAGAGCCTCCCGGTTGGGACACCCCTGCACAAAGCCACCCCCTTCTTTTAGACTCATTATTGGCAAGCTCTTACCTTCCTACTTGAAAGGGAGTCCAAGACCCCAGATGTGGAGTCTGTGACAGTGGATCCTGGGAAATAGTGGTTAACCTCATGTGGAAACATGGCGATTTCATTCTGACGATACATTCTGTGGTGGCGGAGTTTGGATACCCACTCATCAAAGACTTCTTCTGACTTGACCTAAATTATATTAAAAAGAGGGAAACAAGAGCAACCCTCACTGAAAGGAGCAATTTCTTCATTCAATTGAGACACCCCCTCTTTACATGTTGGCACATGGAGAAATGGAGAAATACGAGTTTATTGACTTAGTTTACATTTGCGGTCTACAGGAACAAGTTTGAGGAGGAAATGGAGAATAAAAATGGTCTTCATAAACTCCATTTAGGCTCTCAATGAAAGGGTCCAATTGTCATGCTATTATTAAGAAAGCAAAACATTACCACTCATATTGAACAACAGATAAACTAGAATTCATATTTACCTGCCTCAAAACATTCCCAAATTCACTTGTCCCCACTTTTCCTATTCTTACTGAAAATATTAGCACCATGTTTCCAAAACTCTTTTATAATTCAGACTTTTCAGATCAATCTTCTCTGAACTGGAACAAATTTGTAAATTCTTCCCAAAATATTTAACCTTCTTAATCTTCTCTGACAAAGAACACATTGCTGAGGAATGTGAAGGTTATTTTAAAAACACTTTTCTCTTGCACTTGGAAATAGAAAAAAAAAATGTAAAAAACTATTATTGGAGATTTCCAAGATTTTTCAAACATACCTACACCACCAGTTAGCCACTCTCTCCATAAATGAGTATCTATCAGTGTCTACTTTCCACAAAGAATAATGTTTATAACTAGCAACTTTTATTATAAAGTATTTCAAACGTTCATAAAAGTACTAAAAAGAATGTAACAAGCACCTATGCACTAGATCTTTCTTCACAGTCCAGGTTTTGTATGTACGAGGGTGTATTACTATTTTCAAAGTGAAAAACAATAGATACCTATATATTAGAACAGAGACTCATGAAGTGGCAGCTTAAAATCACCCAACAGGATGCATGGTAGGTTACCTTCCAAGAAGAAAGCTCCAGGTCAATCTGTTAAAATCTTTACTATCACCACTGCTGAAAGCAAGGATGTCTGTAGCCATCACTCATTTAGGAAACGTTAGGTCAGCTCTTAGGTTTGTTGTGTTGATTAGAAGTACATTCAGGACTTAAAACCCCTCCAGGTGCTACTGAATATGTATCATTTACAGGAAAAAGCAATACAAACTGACTTACATCTACTTATCTCCCCCTAAATTATGCCCTCGAAATGTATTTCACTGCCCAGATACGCTTATGGCAGGAACTTCACAGGAATCTTACATCACCCTTTGCACTGATCGGCTCTCAGAGGCCCTTAAAAATTGGCGCCCAAAACATTCCTCTTGACTCATTTTTTTATTGGTTAAATGAGGTAGAAGAATAAAAGCACTTTATTAAATAACTGTCCAGCATTCTGTTCCAACCCCACAAGTTGATATAGGACCGTGGGTGGACAGCCACTTAAACCCTTAGCTGCCCAGATTCCTCATCTATAAAATAAGACAATGGGACTGGATGGCTGCCATTTAAAAACTGCCTAAAAAAAATAAATAAAAAATAAAAACCGCCTGTCTCTGAGGCTATTAACGAGGACCCTCAGACAACTGCTCGTATCTACACTAATACTCACAGCTGACGTTCAAATGAATGAACAGGAAACATGAACAGAACTTAAAGTAAATCAATACAGGGATATATTAAACTGTTGTTTATCATGATATTAGTACACAGTATTATTTTAAGGCACTACGGTTCTTCAAAAATTAGGAATTAATAATTACTTTTATTCTATTAACTAGAATAGTGGATGAACAAGAAACTATTATTTCCTGACCATGTCAAAACAGAACTAAGTGGGGCGCCTGGGTGGCTCAGTCAGTTAAGCGTTGGTCTTTGGCTCACGTCATGATCCCAGGACCCTGGGATCGAGCCCCACATCAGGCTCCCTGTTGGCGGGGAGCCTGCTTCTCCCTCTCCCTCTGCCTGCCACTTCCCCTGCTTGTACTCTCTCTCTGTCAACTAAATAAATAAAATCCTAATAAAAAAAAAAAAACAGAACTAAGTAAGAGTCATTGGAAGTACATGGAGACACGACTGAAACTATTCTAGAGGAGACTGACCTTTGAAACGGGGTGGGTGGGCTATTCTTTCCTATTTTTTGTTTGTTTGTTTGTTTGTTTCTTATTTTCAACCCAGGAACATTTGGCAATGGGAGACATTTTTTGGCTGTTATAACTGAAGGGAGTTGGTTACCAATACCTAGTGGGCAGAGGCCAGGGATGCCCCTCAACATCCTGTAATGTACAGGATAGATCCCACAGCAAAGAATTCTCCAGTTCACTATGTTAATAGTGTTGAGGATGAGAAACCCTGCTTTGCTCAGGGCTGAGGCTAGGAAACAGCATGGATTTGACCACCCTGTGCAGTCAATCACGCACACATATGTGTTATGCGTAGATTCGTGGAAGCACCACACAGATGCTATGAGGAGAGCATGGGGCATCTCAAGACACAGAGCTCACCGTCTCATGCTCCCATTTTCCCAACTCCCAGCCCCCATTCTCAATATTCCAAGTAATTTGCCTAAGTAAGAAAAGAGTCTTAACATCCTCTCAATTAATTCCTCACATTTGGGTACCACCTAATAATTATACACAAAAACTAAACTTACTGAGCTTACAGCGGTCTGGGCATCATGCCACGCTTCTTCCATGCAGCGGTACAACACGGGCACTATAATAATTCCTATTCTGGGGAAGGGTGGTGAGAAAACAGAGACTTTCAGGGATTAAAAAATTTGCCAAAAGGGGCGCCTGGGTGGCTCAGTCGTTAAGCGTCTGCCTTCAGCTCAGGTCATGATCCCAGGGTCCTGGGATCGAGCCCCGCATCGGGGCTCCCTGCTCGGCGGGAAGCCTGCTTCTCCCTCTCCCACTCCCCCTGCTTGTGTTCCCTCTCTAGCTGTGTCTCTGTCAAATAAATAAATAAAACTTAAAAAAAAAATTTTTTGCCAAAGGCCACTGGCTAGTAAGTAGCCAGGTCAAGATTTGAACCAGATCTGGACCTCTGAAGCTCCTATATCATGCTTTTAATCATCTATACCATCTGCAGGGGAGAGGGCAGAAAGGAGGAGTAAGCTGCTTTCAGAGGTACGATTTGGAGGCCCATATTTTAGGAGAAAAGTTCTTGACATTCACTGTAGTATGAGAATTTTAATGGAATCCCTACAAAATTAGCTAAAAGGGTAAGACTAAATATTAAATATTGTATTTCAGGGTACTATTTTAACCTATGGTAAATGGTTCTTCACTAAAGGTGGCACAGTCTGGGGGAAGGTGAGGTTATTTGGAAACATGAAGGTTTTTTTATCATTGACTGTTGTCACATCACGGTATGTGGGAGGGGTGGTCCTTAGCGGGTGGGCGACAAGGATGCTAAACCTTTAGCAGTGTGTGAGATGGTCCATCCAAATATCAGTAGCATCTGTTAGAAATACTTTCACAAGGAAGATCTTCTACACATTGGTTGGATCTTTTGAGATAATCAAAGGGCATCACCAATCCCTTTGCAACCTAAAGAAACCGTGTGACAGGAGATGGCGCCCGGGAAGCAGCCTCACCTTCAGATGGTAGATGTGCTCCTCGGTATCCAGATCTATGCATTTTGATGACTTCTTTACAGACATCACCGAGAGCCCAACGTCAATGCAGCCGTGCAGCTTCTCTCTCTCGATCTGCAGAGGCGTAACAAGAGGGCCGCTTGAGGTCCAGGGTGTTAAAAACAGTAATAACATCCCTAACGCTCCTCTCCTGTAGCCTCCCCTTCAACATCCACGAATACAAACATAGTAACTACGACTTACCAAGCATTTAGTGTGAAAGGGTACTGAATTAAGTGATGTCCACCCATTATCTGTTTTGGTCTAAGAGGGGTTAAGTAACAAGGGGTTCAGGCAATCAGAAGTGATTTAAAAAGAGGTGTAAGGGCAGGAAGCTAAAACAAGCCACTGTGGGTCAGGCATTATGCCAGGTTTTCTACATGCAACCCGACGAGATGAGCACTCTAGGAGTCAACGGAAGCCAGAAAGGAAGAGGGAAGTGCTGGGTGAGAGGAGGACCCATACAAGGGGCAGGACGAACAGTCATTCCAGCCCTTATGGGCTGTCTCCCTAGTGTTAATGCAATAGGGAATTTTCTATCACCATCAAGGGCCTTCTCCACCAAACCCCTCGGTCACTGTAATGGTGGGAGTGATACCTGTCCAATGTTTTATTCTCTTATCTTGCTGGGAAAATGTCAGCCCAACCCTAAGACCTGAACAGACCCCTGGATACCCAGTAGCGAACTGAGCCCCCCCAGAACCCAGGCCTGGGACAGTGCGGAGTAGGCACCTCTGGTCCATGTGAAGGAACTATTACCCCCTTCGGTTTCCAGTTCGGAGAAAGAAAATCCCCAAATGTGTACCATCTCTTCCAGGAGCTGACAACAATTAGCCCTTCAAAATTCTTTAGTAATATATTTGATTAAGAAGAAGACTTACATCGGTTTCGCTCTTGGCATATTTCAAGATTCCTTTGTCCAGATAGAAAAATCTCTGTAGGGAAGAAAGTATAATTCACTAAGACACCCCATTTAGACATCTTCCCTTCCCTCGGTCCCAATTTTCAACTTCAAATTAAATATACATGCCTACGAACCGTGTACTGAGTGGGTACAAATAAAGGTGAAGCAAAGACCAGCGTCTTACCTTGTGCCAGCCTTTTAAGGGCCATTTCCTCTTTTTCAGCAAAAATCCTTTCTGAATGGGAGGCTCCTGGGTGTAACTCATCTCTCCTCTCAGCCCTTCCACCACTTCCCAGCTGTCCTGTGCCAATAAAACAGTTTGTGCTAAATGGCTACCTTCACAAATAATAACAACATTCAGAAACACTTCATCCTACTGGTAAATTCATCCAAGATGTTGAGCTTGGCTAGGTTTGTTGGTGAGAAGAAGTTAAAATTTTCTTTTTTAAAAAAAGATTTTATTTATTATTTGTCAGAGAGAGAGAGCATGAGTGGCGAGCAGAGGCAGAGGGAGAAGCAGGCTCCCTGCCGAGCAAGGTACCCGATGTGGGACTCGATCCCAGGACTCCGGGATCATAACCTGAGGTGAAGGCAGATGCCTAACCGACTGAGCCACCCAGGCGTCCCTAAAATTTAATTTTCATACAGGTCCTGGATTTCATGGATTTAATGCTGTAATTTAATGGCATCAAATTTGACTTTTTTTTTTTTTTTCCAAAATCCCTCTCCTAGAAGGGAGTGTTTCTCTGTCTTTAGCGCTTAAACATGGCTAACGGTAAAGCTTTTACTGTCAGTTCTATTTTTGTCCCCTTTGACATCATCACACAGTTACTGTTTGCTCACCACTAGACTTCAATCTGAATTTTAACCAAAACCTACAGCCATCAGGTGAGAATATGGGAAAATTCTTAAGAACTGGCTGAAAAGTATGAGACTGAATGCAAGCTGGTAAACATGACAACATGGTCAAAATAATGATTCAGTTGCAAGTTAATCTCTTTAAATTCTAGATATTTAAATATTGGAAATCCTGAAGCATTAAAAAGGTGCTTTTGAAGCAAGTATTTTCTTCCTCTTTTTCCAGAAATGTTGTCCGCCACACCCTTCTTTTGTTTCAAAAACTTTTGGGGGGGAAGACAATTATTGATCTACTGAGCTGTTTGTAATTTTGAGGGGGTACAAACTGTTATTACGATGAATCCTCTGCTGTTGGCTAGCTAGGAAGTGTTAACTCGTTGATTGAAAAAGGATTTAAAAGGGAATACAAAAGAAAAACAGTAAAAATTCTGAAAATTTATTTTTAAGTGCTTGAAAATGCACAAATCATTGCAAAATTACCCCAAGATAGACCAAAATTGGCAATACCCATTTTAGAGGCTGAGATAATGGATTTTTATTTTACTAATGGATTAATATACATGAAATGCACAAACCTTAGAAGTACAACCTGATGAATTTATACACCTATCCCATCAGTAACTACCATCCAGATCAGAGAGAAACATTTCCAACATAGGATAATTAAGTTTTGACAAACATGTCCTTCCCCACCCCCTCTAGCTTTTTTGAGATATTATTGGCATATAACTATATAAGTTTAAGGTATACAATGTGATGATTTGATACCCCTCCATTCTGCACACCTCCCTGCCATCACTACCACTTTTTTTTGTGTGTGGTGATAACACTTAAGATCTACTTTCTTAACAACCTTGCAAGAATATAATATGACATATAGTCACCACGCTGTACATTAGATCCCCCAGAACTTACTTTTCTTATAGCTGGGAGTTCGTATAATTTGACTAGCATTTCACCATTGCCACCCGTTCCCACCCCCAGGAGACACCATTCTACTCTCTCTTTCCTTGAGTTCAGCTTTTTTAGATTCTGCATATATGTAACAACATACAGTATTTGTCTTTCTCTGATTTATTTCACTTAGCCCAATGCTTTCAATGTCTATCCATGTTGTTGCAAAAGGCAGGATTTCCTTTTTTCTGTGGCTGAATGATATTCCCCTCTGTGTGTATCACATTCTCTTTACCCATTCATCCACTGATGGACACTTAGGTTGTTTCCTTGTCTTGGCTACTGTGAATAAAGTTGCAATGAATGTGGGGTGCAAATATCTCTCCAAGAGACAAATGTGTCCTTTTGGCCAAGATTTTATGTTGACTAACTTGCTCTTCTATCTCCAGACTACAGGTGAGGGTTACAGGTAGAGGCCAGAGGAATTGGGAGATGGACAGTAAGTCTGGACCAGCACCAGGGAGCAGAAGCAGTTTGATTCAAGCCCCAGGAAACAGTCTCAAGGAAGGGCATGGAACCACAAGGGTCATGGGTGCTCTGGCTCAGTTTCTGTATTGTCAAGTCCAATACATGGGAAACATGTGGTAACAAGGAACACCTCTCTACTTTAGCCACTGAACTCTTTATGTGACAATCCTGACAGACCTGCCTTATGTCCGATTGCACTTTACTGTGAATATGGTTAAAAGTACATTCCAGACTTTTGAAATGCAGTAGAAGTATCCCAAGATCTGGAGTTGTAAAAGGGAATTCTTCAATGGAAAAAAGCAAAGCTTATATTTAGCTCTTAAATTGGAGGACTTTTTCAGAAAGGCAACAATGTCAAATGAGATTTCTTTACAGCACCATCAATTATTCAGAGTCACTTAATTATACCCAGACAATACATGGAGAATGCATACTATTAAGTGATGAGAAGCCACACGCATAGGCAGTCATGACCTCTGTAAACATGTATTTCAGCTTAGAAAGCCATTCTGCAAAATTTAACATGTCCTGTCACAATTTTAATGAACTCTTAAGGTCAAGTTAAAAATTCCACCTCCTCCAGGAAGACTTCTTCAAAGGAAAGTACTATTTCATCCTAGAAACTCCATCAGCACTCCATCTTACATTTCCAATGGTTTACCACTTACTTATGATATTATATGTGAGATTTTATCATCCCTACTAGACAGCAAACTCCTTGAGAGTGTAAAGTGTCTAGTTCACTTTTGATTTCTTCACAATGCTTAACCTGCTGTCCTGTGAATACTATACATCTGATTGGCTAACAAATAAACTTGGTCTTAGAATAAGACTGCAAACAGATTTATTTATGTTCTTGGAATATTATAAATCAGCATGCATTTGAAATGTGCCCCGTGTCTTTGGGCCAAATGACTATTTACAAGTTAAATACAGCACATTCATATTTGTGAAAGAGGGTATATATGTGTATTATCATTGTTAAACGGAAATCTATGGCTCAAAGTCTTTTGGAAAGTACTCTAAGGGGATCAAGTCCTTTCGATTTAAGATACCCAAACAGAAGGCAACATGCAGTGATAATACTAGACAATCATGCGTGTCTGCTCAATACATTCAATTGTGCAGAATGCAAATGCCAAGAGGGATTAGATGTTAATTGCATACTTCCCAAAACTGAAAAAAAAAATGGGATGAGATCATATCTGTAGTTTAAAGAAAAATAAGAATTAAATTTCAAAAATGTTTCAAGGATTCATGTTGGAACTAGATCTCTCCTGAATTCTTCAGACACAATACATTCCTGCCAATGAGCCAACGTGGAGGGCTCATTTGTTGGCATTTAAAGGAAATAAGCCAGAAAGGGTTTGCATTTATGCCAAACAAAATATCATCTTTTTTCCTCACTTTATTTTCTACCTGGGTTCAGAACTTAAAACTCTTACCAGGTTGGAAAAGCCAGATTTGAAGTATTTAAGAAAGTGAAGACTCTGCTTGACTGAGGAAGAAATCTCTGCAGCCAACTCCTTTTCTGGGCTTGCCATCCAAATCCTCCCCTTCCAACTTCCCTGTCTGTCACTGTCCTTGAGTCACTCGGCTGAAACCTGAGAGCCAGCGTTCTCTGCGGGGGCAGTACTCTCCCTCCAGGGCTGCGAAATGGTGGGGGTACTTTTAGTTGTCACGGTTCCTGCGATCTAATGGCTGGGATCCAGGGATGGTAAATGTCCCACAATGCCTCCATCTTAGACAATGAAAAGTTGTCCCACCTCCCATGAGACTTTCCAAAGTTCCAATGGATTTTTTTGTAGGTGAAACCTGTTTAAATTTCTTGAGCACAGAATTTGACTCTTTCACATCCATACCAAAGTATTTCTGCATGGTTTTTATACACTTTATACACTTTGAATTCTTGGTATTGCGACTCTTGGATAACTGAGGGAAGGCTATATTTCCTTCTGTTTGGGACTTTAACAAGCGTCACCCGCCATTCTGGAGAATCGTGTCTCTGAAGGCCGTGTCACTTGTGGTATTTGAGTTATTAGCACAACAAACCCATGTGGGTCTGCATTAGTAGCTGTCACATTTTACATATAGGTCTATCTGACCACATCATTCTATCTTCTGGTATAATCATATGTGGGCTTCTACGCATTAAAATAAATATTTTAATATTAACCACTTTCTTTGAGTTTTCCTTTATATTACAGCAAAGCATTATGGTGATATTTTCAAAATTATTATTCACTATAAATTATTAATGAATTTCATTTGAGGAGAGTAAAGCAGATATTAAAATATTGGTCACAATAAAGGGATATTGTTTTGGTGGGATTAAGAACCACTGCTGTACCTGACACAAATTCTATGAGAAGAAATGTTGTCTTCATGGTGTAGTGAAATCACTTTGGAACTGTGAGGGCTTAATTAATTAATTAATTTCTCATAAGTAAGTGCTGTTGGTTTCATCCTCAAGATGTTTATCTTCTATGTCACTTCCTCTCTGTTGCCCAGCCACTATCTTGACCCAAGCTCTCATCCAACCTGGTTTCCCAAGACTCTCCACTTCCATAATCATTTATGGGGCCCCGTTTTGCCTTACCCTCCATGCAGTATACAAATGAATATAATGTAATACTTGTCTGCATTTCCACTTCTGTAGTTTATTTATATTGTTCAAGCCTCCCAGAATCTTCTCTTAATCTTTTCCACCCATGCAAACGCTTCAAAATTTTAGTTCAGTTTCTGAAATTTTCCTAAATTATCCAAACCACATCAATTGTGTATTCCTGTAAATATAGCAGTATTACTGTCGGGGCACCTGGGTGGCTCACTTGGTGAAGCATCTGCCTTGGGCTTGGGTCATGATCCCAGGGTCCTGGGATCAAGCCCTGCATTGGGCTTCCTGCTCAGCAGGAAGTCTGCTTTTCCCTCTCCCTCTGCTCCTCCCTCTCCCTCTGCTCGTGCACTCGCTCTTTCTGTCTCTCTCTTAAATAAATAAAATCTTAAAAAAATATATAGTAG